TGAAAAACCTGTATTTTTCATTTAAGACCATGGTTCCTAAGTTTGCGTCATCACTGATTCTTGAGCCTTGGGAACATATAAGAATCAGTAATGGAAATTTTTTTCTTTCATTTTCCTTCCTTCGCTTTCTCTCTCTCTCTCTCCCTCTTGGCTTCTCCCCCATCTCTTTAAAAAAAAATGTACAGACAGTTCACTGCCCCAGAAATTCTGATTTCAGTGGTCTAGGGTGGATCCTTGATAACACTGTATAAATTTAAAACGCCTCGTCTGAGTCTAATGTGCCGCCATTGTTCAGAATCCACTGCATTTTATCACTGGATGCTCATTATAAGTGTAGAGTCTCAAAACCTACCCAGGCCTACTGAAAGAGGATCTGCATTTTATTTATTTAAAGAATCTGCATTTTAATGATATCCCCAAGCAGCTTATATGTAAAGTAAAATTGGAGAAGCACTGTCTAGAATTAGTGAATATCTGGCAGTGGACCCAAGGGCTCCCTTGGACTGTAGTTCTCAAAGTGTGATCCCAGGACCATCTGGGAGTTTGTTAAAAATGTACATTCTGTCACCTGGGAGTTTGTTAAAAATGTACATTCTGAACACCAACCTAGACTTTCTGAATAGGACACTGGGGAGGTTGGGGGCAGCAATTTGTGGTTTAATGAGCTCTCCGGATGATTCTTACACAGGGAGTATTGCATTAGGAGATTCAGGTAGGTATTGGGATTTGGAAACACTGGATTAAGAGAATTCTTTCTACAGGCCTTTTTTTTTTTTTTAAAGATTTTATTTATTTATTTGACAGAGAGAGAGAGATCATAAGTAGGCAGAGAGGCAGGCGGGGGGGTGGGGGGAGAAGCAGGCTCCCTGCTGAGCAGAGAGCCCGATGTGGTACTCAATCCCAGGATTCTGGGATCATGACCTGAGCCGAAGGCAGAGGCCCAATTCACTGAGCCACCCAGGTGCCCCTCTACAGGCCTTTTATTAAAATACTTCCTGAAGTGAAGAAGCATTGATGTTGCAACTTAACTTTCAAATGATTTAACAAGCTAAAAAAGGGAGGAGGGACCCTCTCTGTGTGTATAGGTGCTTGTAGAGAAAAGGAAAGCACATATGGCAAAAGGTCATTTTCTGCCATTGCATTTATAGAAATGGTATAATCTAGGAGTACCTGGGTGGCTCAGTCACTTAAGCATCCCACTCTTGTTGATTTCGGTTGGGGTCATGAATCTTGGGGTCATGGGATCTAGCCCTGTGTTGAGCTCTGTGCTTAGTGGGTAGTCTGCTTGGGATTCTCTCCCTCTTCCTCTGTCTCTCCCTTAGCTCATGCTCTCAATCTCTTTCTCTCTCTCTCTCTTTTTTTTTTTTTTTTTTAAAAAGGCACAATCTAGGTTCAAGTAGAGTAACTAGTTTAAGGTAAATAGCCAGCAGGCAGGTGGCAAAATGAGAACTTGAGTGTCCATGCCCTTTGTACATCACCAGAAGCTGGAGTTTGATGTTTTTCATGTTAGCTTGCCTGAGTTCACCATCCCAGGCATCTAGGAATGTGGCTGTGTTGCATTCTACAGGCCCAGGAGTGAGCTTGAACATTTAGTCATTGACTTCCGTTGTCATGACTAACTGCCCCCTACCTCCCTCCCACTCTACAGTGTCATAGTTCCCTCCTCAGCCCCTATTATCATCATTCCTACTATTAGACTTGGAATCTGGGCATGTTCATATATTTTATTTTGGCTTCTAATAGAACCAAGTGTTCTATGGTTTGAGTTGGGCATATGCAGAAATATGATTGATTTGTGTAGCCCAGACTTACTGTTTCAGTTTTCAGGCCAGTTATTAACTAGACAGAATTGCAAATTTGCCCTGTTGGTAGCCTGAGATTTAGAATTAGTTTCAAAACAATGGGAACTAGTAAGTATTTTACTTTTTAAAATACTTTACCTCATCCACAAAATGTTTCTGTTGATTAAAGATTGCTATTAAATTGTCTTTCCTACTGTAACATTTCTTAAAAGTTCTGATCCATATTAGAATTGGATGAATTCTTTAGGTTGTTGACTTTCTCTTTTTTTTCTTTGTAGCAATAATTTATTCCTACCTGATGATTAAAGAAAAATCCTCTGTAAGAATTGTTTTACTTTATTGTTGACCTCGTGGAGGTCTGCCTTTAATTGAACTCATGATGGCATTTTTATATAATGTGTAAAAGAGCATCAGGAGACAGAGCTAACGTGGTCTTACTTGCTTTTATACAAATTAAATTGCCCTTGTGGCCCAGCATAAAATCAAAGCACTAAGAGCAGTTATTTATTTTGACAACAGAATTAATTGAGCCTAAAACAGTTGAAATTCCAGTTGTAGCAAACTGTTCTTTCTGGGTCTCACTCTGGCTTTGGGACTGTCAAAAAAAGTAACTTGTCTTATGATTAAATAGCAGAATGATGGGCAGTGGACTGCATTTGAGGGAGATGCTGAATAAACTTTCTACTTGTGAAACATTTCAGAAGTGACATGCTACAAGGGGGGTAAGAATGTGCATTGCTATCCAGCTGAGCTGTCAGCTGGCACAGAGCCAGGCACGCAAAGCTTTGCCATGTGAAGCGGCATGTAGAGCATATGCCATTTGATAAAATCTTTTTCATGCATGAGTTAATTTTTTTAAAGGTATTTTTAGTTATATTATACCAGAAACCTTCATATTTTTGTCTTTAATAGAAAAACTTATGTGCTGAAGGTACTCATTTTAAAACTTTTATATGTATTTTACAATTTGAAAGGATGTGGCATCTTATATTTCACAAATGTTTGTCATTTTGAATAGTTTATTTTTATTGGGCATTTCCCTATTCCAATTCCAAATGGATTTTAAGAGGATGTTTAGAAAAGATAAAGGAAAAGCAATCGACATATATCTGGTATAGGCAAAAGGTTTTATGAGGAAAAAAACATAGAATTTTGTTGGAGGAAATTTTGGTAGAGTTAAGGGATGCCTTTGCTATTTTCATATATATGAAAACATCCAAAAATCTTAAAAGAATGTATATCATATTTGCTAAAATGATGTTATAAAAGTCTTTCTAGATGTTCTGTTTTAAAATATTTGTAAATAATGCAATTTGTTTGGCATTGGTCTTTTGTTTTGTTTTTCCTCTCTAGAATAAGCCCATGGTTTGAGTATTCAAGATTCTGTAAATAATTACTGGTCACAGATTATGCGATGTGTAGTTGTAGGAGCTCCCAGATTATTTGATAGGTGGTTATAGTCTCTTAAGGTTTATTAGTAAGTGATAAAGCTAATAATAAATAATAAACTGTTGGTAATTTAGGAAGAGATTTTTCATTCTTTATAATTTTTACATCTCCTAGTTGCTAATTATCGGATGGACATACTACAGTTCTTTGCCTTTATTGATCTTTCAGTTTCATCTCTTTGTAAACTGTTAACTTAAGCCTCTAATGGATTTTAACAACAAGCTCATTTAATGAATCTTAGCTTCCAGATTTGCAGAGTGGACTTGAAGTCTTTAAATTTTTAATTAGGCCATGTTCTGGTTCCAAGGTTTTTTGGATGAAAGTAGTGAATGTATTGTTTCTTTTTTTAGTCACATGATATATATCATAAGAATACTGTAGTAAGAAAAGTATTGCTAATTAATTAATTAGGACCTTGTTTATCAACTCTCTTTTATGAGTTTTTTTTAATAAAGTTATTTTGCTTATCCCTAAATGTTAATGTATTCTGTTTGAATAGAAACCAGAACTGAAGGAGTAGATCTTAGATTTGGTCAAGAAGAAGGACATTTTAGCCAGTATTTTTAGGTGTTCTACTTGTAGAGAAATTTTTCTTGTTAATCAGTGGCTTTCTTTTGCAATGGAATCATCATTGAGAACTCTGATTATGAACTTAAATATAGGTACAGTTAAGCTTAACATCTCAGAAGAACCAATAACGAAATCTTATATTTTCCACTTTTCAAGCTCTGTTTTTAAATTTTTTGAAATAATATATTGAATCTATTACTGCTAATAAGTTATTTCAGAAAAATACTGGACTTGCATAAATTTAAGTATTAAAAAATAGTTTAACAGAATGATAGTTTAACAGTTTAACAGAAGATAATTTTTTAGTCTGATACTTAGCTTTGGGGTGTTTCAGTAGAATAGTGATTCATGCTTTTTGCTAACTTTCTTACTACCTAAATAATTTAGTATTCCATGTAAATGAAATATACCATCCCATGGGACTTAAGGCTTGTCTCAGCAGATCTGTTATTTTAGGGCTATTTTGTTTTTTAGCTGATTTCTATTTTATCATCTTCTTCCCCTCTGTAGTCTATCCCTCATACCAGTGCTAAATTAATTTTCTTGTAAGCCACTTTGTAGGGTCATGTGTGGATCACCTCACGTGAAAACTCTTCCATTACCTGCAGACTACAAGTGCACATTCCTTGATGGACTTTACAGTTAGAGCCTCACCATTTAGCTGCTATGTAATTGGTGCATTTATTTGTTCAGCATATATTTGTTAAAGACCTATATTTGCCACTTCACAGCAGTCTACTAGACAAACAAATTCCCAAGCTTTAGATTCTAGTAGTATTTACTATGTTGGTCCCCCTGTCCTTCCCATGAATACAACCAAGGATCCAGCAACTGCCTTTTATTATGCTTGTTTTCTCTCAAGTATCCTGCAAGCTTCTTGAAAGCAGGAACTACAGATTAGGTTTGTGTCTTCAGTTCCATGGTATCTTATATAAAAGGTTTTCAGTAAATTGTGGTCATAATAATAGGCTCGTTTCCATTTTTGTCACTGTTAGGATTATTTGAATTTTAAAATTATTATTTATATTATAATTAACACTATCAGATAACACTAGAGCACATGTCAGGTCAGTTAAAAAGCTGTGATGGCATCTGATCTGAATGTTTCTATCAGCTTGCCTTTTTTTTTTTTTTTTTTTAACTTGCCATTGTTCATCTGTTTTTTGTTTGTTTGTTTAGGCCTTATTGAATTTGAAGAATGTGACCCTGCTAGTGCAGTTGAAGGTAAGTTGGCTACTTGTAATAGTGGTAACTACCTAATATCTTCTGTTATTGAATAAATAAAGAGTGGCTATTATCCATTGGTGTTAGCCTGTCGGTGGTGTGAGTGATATAGAAAATCTGAATGTGGTTTGAAGACCTATAGATACTGTTCTTCACTTAATAAGCAGTAGGTTTGCCCAAAGGAATAATGAGTGTGTTAGTGTATATATCTTAAAAGATGAAATATAACATGTATTTATTTCCAAATATACATTGAGATTGTTTTCTTTATTGATATCCATTTTAAACATTTTCATGTCATAAATATGAAAATGATTACTGCACATTAACGTGTAAGACTTACTCTAAAGTGAGAAACATTTCAGTAATTAATGAGGTTATATATTAATGTTATTATTACTATTATTTAAAATGAGTGATGATACGACTTGGAGAAGGGGTTCACAACCCTTCCTTTTTGTTTGCTTGCTTTGTTTGTTTAAAGATCTTATACACACAATGTAGGGCTTGAGTTTATAACCCCAAAATCAAGAGTCCCACACTCCTCTGAGCCAGCCAGGTAGCCTTCCTGTTTAAATAGATGATTTTCATAGTATGAAACCTAAGAGATGCCTGCTATTTTTGTCAAATTTTATGTATCTCACTTTGTGAGCTACTGGAAGTAATTTGAAAACAATCTTATATTTTTTTCCTTCCAACATTTATTTAAGAATTTGGGGAAAAGGTTTGCTGTTGTGTATAAGGTTCTTATTGGAGAAGTCAGAGGCTCTGGTCCCTAGACTTTTTTTTCTTTAAGAGAGGGGCTGAGGCAGGGAGGGTTAGAGGGGGAGAAAGAGAGAGAGAGAGAATTTTGTTTTTCCTTTCAAGATTTTATTTAAATTCAAGTTCTCATATAGTATAATATTAGTTTCAGGAGTAGAATTTAGTGATTCATCAGTTGCAGGTAACACCCAGTGCACATTACATCAAGTGCCTTCCTTAATGTCTGTCCCCCAGTTACCCTATCCCACCACTCCCTCCCCTCCAGGGCCTGGGTGGCTCAGTCACTTAAGCATCTGCCTTGAGCTCAGGTGATGATCCTGGGGTCCTGGGATTGAACCCCACTTGGGGCTTATGCCCCCTGCTTATGCTCTCTCTTTCTCTCTCATTCTCTCAAATAAAGTCTTAAAAAAAGAGTCTCTTATGGTTTGCTTCCCTGTCTTTATCTTATTTTTCCTTCCTTTCCCCTATGTTCATCTGTTTTGTTTCTTAAATTCCACGCAAGAGTGAAATCATACGGTATTCATCTTTCTCTGACTGACTGAATTCACTTAGAACGAACACTCTGTTTCCAGGAGAGAGAGAAACTTTTTTTTTTTTTTTTTAAGTTTTATTTGACAGATATCACAAGTAGGCAGAGAGGCAGGAAGAGAGAGAGGAGGAAGCAGCCTCCCCGCTGAGCAGAGAGCCCCATGTGGGGCTCGATCCCAGGACCCTGGGATCATGATCTAAGCCGAAGGCAGAGGCTTTAACCCACTGAGCCAACCAGGCACCCCGAGAGAGAGAATCTTAAGCAGGCTCCACAGCCCGTGTGGAGCCCAATGCTGGGCAAGATCTCATGACCCTAAGATCATGACCTGAGCTGAAATCAAGAGTGGGACACTTAACCAACTGAGCCACCCACACGCCCTGGTGTCTAGACTTCTTACAGTTCCTAACTTCTTATAGTTCCTGTAAACAGTTATTTAAGTTCTCTGTACTTCAGCTTTCTTGGTTGTAAAATGTGGATAGTTGGGGCACCTGGGTGGCACTTCAGATCATGATCTGAGGGTTGTGAGATGAAACCCTGCTTCAGGTTCCGTGCTCAGCTTGAGATTCCCTTCTTCTCCCTCCCCTGGCTTGTACTCTGTCTCTCAAATAAGTAACTAAACTTAAAAAAAAAAAAAAAAAAGTGTAGATAGTAAATAATACTCTGTAAGAATAAAAATGTATTTGATTTTTAAAATATAGAGGCACCTGGGTGGCTCAGTGGGTTAAGCCTCTGCCTTCGGCTCAGGTCATGATCTCAGGGTCCTGGGATCAAGCCCCGCATGGGGCTCTCTGCTCAGCAGGGAGCCTGCTTCCACCTCTCTCTCTGCCTGCCTCTCTGCCTACTTGTGATCTGTCTGTCAAATAAATAAATAAAATCTTTAAAAAAAATAAAATATAACATGCTATACAAATGTATGATTTAGGGAATTAATTTTGCGTGAAATTTTAGATGTTCTAAAACATCTGAATTATAATCCTCGCTATAGTATTTAGTAGCTGTATAACATTGAGTTAAAAAAACAAAAAACTACCCTTGAGTTTCCTCATCTGTACGGTAAGGAGTTATCTTAGGTATGCTCTGCCTGTCCGAGTAAACAGCTAAGCTTTAAATGCTGAATTCCATCAACAATCAATAGCACGACTGATCTCTAAAAAATAAATTTGTCATGCAAGAAGAGGAGGAAGAATTAGGCAAAACAAAGATGATCTTTGTTTCTCATTTATGGTAGAATCAACTTAAAGCAGTGTTTATATTAAAGATATAATTTGGGCAAAAGAATGCCATATGTTTTCTGTGTTTACTGTTAATGGATCTGTTCTTTTTTTTTTTTTTAAACAACACATTTATATTTTGTGACCTTCCACACAGGAAACATGACTTGGTCTGCATTTATAACAGTCTAATTTAGTAAATAATATACATTCTTTGAAGTTTTAAGATATCTCCAAATGCTTATTTTGTCTGAGGTAACTTAGGGGAGACTTAGAGGAAAAGAGAATTTTGTTGATCAAGTAAATGTTTTATAACCTTTTGGTGCATAGCAGGCCATATTAAATTAAGAAAAGACTAAACAGATTGTGACTCTGATTTAAATGTTAGGGTTGAGCAGTTGATACTTTTATTTCTTTATCCAAATTTCGTATTAACAGAAGCAAATCATGTGTCAAGATATAAGAGATATTCATAAATTTAATATATTTATCAGCAACAATTATGTTTCTGTAACAGTATATATTTATTTCAAGGTATAAAACCAAGGAAAAGAAAGACTTTTGGTTTACCAGGGATAATTAAAAAGGAAAAGGATGCAGAGTCTGTGTAAGTATATTACATATTGTCAAAATCCTCTGTTATTAAGACTGTTGTTTTGAATTTGAGAAGAAAAAATTCCATCAGAAATAACTCAAAGTATGTATGTCTAAGGTTTAAAAAATACATTTTTCTAAGTAATGTACTACCTCCTCTGGCTTTAGATAAAAGTATTAACTTCTCTTATTTTAAAATTTTAAGATGAAAGCTCTAGTGTCTTGAAATTGAAACTTTAAAGGTACCCTTTTTATAAAACATACATGCATATTTAAAAAACAGAAGTGCAGAGGAAACTAAAAATTCTTCTATATCTTAATGCCAAAGAAAAAAACCCATGGTCAACAATTTAATGAAAATCCTTTCTAGACAACTCTAAACATATAGGCATATGTGTACACATAAATAGAAAACAGGGGAGAGCAAAGGCACTAACATGTTTTAAACATTTATACTAGGTCATCAATTTTAGATGGGGGATGGACTATAAATATGATTTATGTATTTTTTAAATTAAGTTAATATACACAGAATATATAATTTGCATACAATAAATTCAACTAGTATTGGGTAAGTGAAGTTTTCTACATTGGCTATGAGTTAGAACTATGTGGAAAATTAAAATAGATGTATTTATGCCAGGCCCCACCTCAGACCAATTAAACCAGATTCTCAGGCATGAGGCCAAGCATAATTCTTGTTTGGTTTGGTTTTAAGCAATCTGTGTGATTCCTAACATACGCCTGGGGTTGAGAATCTCTAAGAACTATGATTTGCAAGAGACAAACTGGAATCAATCTTTCTGTAATTACTCAACCTTATATATATTGACAAGATGCTAATCAAATCTTAAATGATTTGTTGACCATGTGACACTGGGTGAAAATTTGTCTAAAATCCCTGCTTCTCTAGCATAATTAGCAGAGCTGTCATAGGCACTCATATTTTCAGTATAAGAGAACAGTTTGTGCTTTGGGTATTCTTACCTTCTGCCTAGTTAGATTCTTTTTGAGTTTCTCAGTGTGTCTAAGTCTATTTCTTCCTTTCTCCCAAGTTTTACTTGGATAACAAATTAAGACCAATTGCAGAGTAATTTTTATTTGTAGTTACCATCTCATCTACAAATGTCTTTTCAGCATTTATGAAGGGGGTATTTTGTTAAAGAGATGGAATCTAATCTTTTTTATAACATTGGAAATACTTATGGAAATCTAAACAGTTGATTTGTAAGTGAAATTATAAATGTAGCCAGTTCATCTGTGGGTGTATTATAAAAAATAAAGGCCTTAAATTCAAATATTTTTATAATGTATGGTTTTCACAGCTGTCCATTTAGGCAGCGTGGAATATTTTTGCATATTCTGTGTTTTTAAAATAGTTTTTCATGATCAGTAATTTCCCAGTACCAAGATTAGGCCACTCGGATATTGGAATGGTTTTTACAAACACTGAGAAGACCAGAGCCAAAAACCAGTGCTTAAACAACTGCACCATGATTGCTTTCTTTCAACACTTGGAGGCAGGAAAAATGTTAGAAACCGCTTTGTTTGAAATGCCTGAGGCTCTTGGCATGCTTCTTCCAGTAGCCTGAAGGCTTTGAAATGCCAGCAGTTGTGGAAGACGGGGTCCTGCTCAGAGCTTGCTCAGGGCTTGCTCTTCCTTGGGGCTTCAACTGCAGGTCTCATTGAAGCCCACTGTGAAAGCAAACAGATGAGTGCTTTGACACAAAGACTGGTGAGCTCTGGCTGAAAGCCAGAGAATAAACCATTTGAAACTTTGACACTTTTATATTTAAAGTATATCTTTTTAAAAAAAGAAGGAAGTAGAAGTGCTCCAATATCTTAAATTATTTGATTCTGTAGAGGGATTGAATTTTTTCTTATGGTGCCTTTTCTGGAACATATCCTTAGAGTATGCATAGGAATGTATCAGTAATAAGGAAGCTCTTTTTCAAAACTTGGAATTTTGAGTGACATTTAAGTGGCTATAAAGATACAAGAAGCTTACATTTACCCTCTTTGGTGCTTCCATTTGGATTAAGAGCAGTGTAGTCATCTTTTTTTCATTATTTCAGTCTGTTCCATCCTGTCTTTCTTTAACTAAATTCTTCAATTTGTAGATTTTTTTCCTGGTTTGTGCTTTAGTCTTTGGGAGATGACCTGTTTATCCTATATATTAATTTAGTACAATTTTATTACTGTTCATTGGACTCTCAAGGTATACCTAATATGCGTGTTTTCAGTATCTTATTAAAGTGGTGGATTCTGATACTATATATGCATTAACTGTCTCAGGCCACTGAATATGTAAATAATCCAAATGCCTTTTAAATGTTCATTCTAATTTTTGTTAGTGAATTTGTTTAACAATATGTATATAGAAATCCTTCTAACCTTATTTCTAATGGCCTTGATGTCTTTATGGGTTTAGGTCTTTATTTGGTTGATAAAGTTGGTCTACTTTATGTTTTAATTTTACATTCAAAGCACTTCTTTTCTAGCTTATATCCAAATTAATATTTGTCAGTTAAATGATAAAATACCAGTTTTATATATTAGACTTAGATTTTTTAAGCGGAATTCTGACTACTTATTTAACATATTTGGAGAAAAATGGTTTGGCTTCTATATATATATATATATGCTAGCTATGGATATTACTTCAAATGAAACTGAAGTTTTTAATAAGAATATATTGTAAAGTGTTATTTAAAAGCCAGTAGCAATCCTTGTAGGACTGGCAGCTTCCTTTATATGATTCATGTGTATATTTATGAAAAAGAAGTGCTTTTGAAGTACAAGTTTTTAAAATACTTGCAAGCTGTGTAAGTTTTATTTGCCATGTATTGTGGATATTGGATTGCCTTCTTTTGAACTTTAAAATCATTTGGTATATTTTAATCCTCATGATTTGATTTTTCTAAATATCTTTGTAAAGTTTAAATAAAAGTTATGTTTAAATAACAAGGTAAACACATTCAGTATACTAGAATTATAGTTCTAATAGTTGATTGTTTCTAATATTTTGTTTATTTTTAATAGGGAATGCCCTGATGCAGATTCACTTGTAAGTTGATTTTACGTTGATATAAACCATCCATATTAACTATTTTCATTAGGAAATAACAAGCATATTTGGGTTGAGTTGTTAACAAGTCTTTCCAAGAAAAATACTAACCAGCTTACTGTAAATTCACTATTAAAATTATTTTACAGGTGCATTTTTGGCTTTATATTACTAGATGCTTTCCTATTAAATAGAAAGTAGTTCTACCTACCTTTGTAAAGTACATTTTACTTTTAAAATTTGAGTGGTACTATACCATATTGCCTTTTCTTGGGAAATATGCCAGATCTCAGATCTGTATACTTTATTTTAAAATGTGATGCTCTTAGTAATGTGTTCCTCATCATTAAAATGTTATTTTTATCTATTCAAGTATTTGAGTTTTAATAGATTACCAGTTTAAAAAAATACAACAATCATGGTCAGTATTTTTCTGTGCTTTTTGCTTGTAGAACTTTCACTTATATTTTTTATTTAAATATATTTCTTTGTATATAATTGAGGAAGGCATTAAATGGAGCTCCAAATAAGTTACAGTGGGAGAGTAGATTTACAAAATAGTCTAATATATAAACAGACACATTTTTCAAATTGTTCATTAGACTGGTTATGTTGCTAAGTGTAGTAGAGTCAAGCTGTCTGTCTCCTTTGCTTGTTCTTGCTTATATAATTACTGTTTCTTTTGGTCCCACATCATTTTGATCTTTTACAGCATAATGGTGTATCAGGATAAAGATATTTTGTGAAATAGTGTGTTTTATGTAACTTAAATAAAACCTAGTATATTTTCTTTAAAATAAGAAAATTATGGTTTGTTAATAAGTGTAAAGTGAAAGTAGAGAATTAGATTTCTAGTGAGCTCTAGGGTTAAAACTATCCAGTGTTTTAGAATTACATTTAATTTACCAATTGTCTGTTTTGATACTCTTGGCTTACCAATTAATGAAAAAGTTAACAGATGTGTTCGACATATACTTCAGTATTCATCATGCATTTCATTTTGGAATTATGCGTAGCATTTATTTGATGATTGCAGTATTGAATTAAATACTTTAATACTTCTTGTTTTATATATACTCCCTTAAATATAACATCTGTAATCCTCTTAAGCTCATTGATACTATTCTATAATGATCAATATTAACCAAGTTTGCACTTCAAGTCAGAAGAATTAGAAAAAGAATTGGAAAAGAACTTTTAAAGAGGATGCATAAGGCTAATGCCATATAAGAAATTATTGATAAATTTGTGTAGAAAGAAAACATCTAAAATTACAAAAAATAGAAGAATTTGATTCAGTGAAGATAAATTGGCAGAGTATATTTGCAAGACATGTAATAAAGGGCTACTTTACTTTGTAGAGTTTATATAAATCATTATCAAAGGTGAGCAATGTCCCAGTAGAAAAAGGGCATTATAAAAATGGGCTATTTTTTGGGGCGTCTGGGTGGCTCAGTGGGTTAAAGCCTCTGCCCTCGGATTAGGTCATGATCCCAGGGTCCTGGGATCAAGCCCCACATCGGGCTCTCTGCTTAGCGGGGAGCCTGCTTCCTGCTCCCCTGCCTCTGCCTGCCTCTCTGCCTACTTGTGATCTCTGTCTGTCAAATAAATGGATGGAATCTTTAAAAAAAGAAAAGGGAAAAAACAGGCTATTTTTCATAAAAAGAAATAGAAGTGGTAAATAACCATAAGAAATGTTGTTCAGAATAGAGGTCTCATTCTGATGCAAATTAGAATGAAATTCCTATATTTACCTATCATATTGGCAAAGGTTTTGGTATATTGGTAGGAATGTAAATTGATATGATCTGTCTTATATGTAGTTTGGCAGTGTCTTCTCAAATAAGAAATGCATGTTCTTTTTTGACTCTCCAGTCCTACTGCTTGAGGTTTACTGTTACAGCTATATTCACAAACTATAGGTATGTGATTGACCAAGGTAAATGCACACAGTAGTCATTCCCTCCCCCACCCCGCCCCTGAGGTTTCGCTTTCCATGGTTGGAGTTACTCATGGTCAGTCATGGTTCAGAAGCAGATGATCCTCCTTCTGATATATCACCAGAAGGTCATTAGTAGCCTGACGCTATATCACAATGCCTACTACATCATTCACCTCATGTCATCTCATCATATAGGTATTTTATTATATCACATCATCACAAGAAGGGTGAGTATGGTAAAATAAGATATTTTGAGAGACCACATCCAGATAACTTTTTTTTTTTTTTAAAGATTTTATTTATTTATTTGACAGACAGAGATCACAAGTAGGTAGAGAGGCAGGCAGAGAGAGAGGGAGGAGGAAGCAGGCTCCCCGCGGAGCAGAGAGCCCGATGTGGGGCTTGATCCCAGGACCCTGGGATCATGACCTGAACTGAAGGCAGAGGCTTTAATCCACTGAGCCACCCAGGCGCCCCTCCAGATAACTTTTTTTTGAAAGATTTTATTTATTTATTAGAGAGCTGGGGGAGGAACAGAGGGAGAGGGAGGAGCCTAGATGATGTGGGGCTCTGTTCCAGCACTCTGGGATCATGACCTGAGGCAAACCCAGGTGCTTAACCGACTGAGCCACCCAGGCACCCCGTTACATAACTTTTATTATAGTATATATATATATATTTTAAAGATTTTATTTATTTGACAGAGATCACAAGTAGGCCAAGAGGCAGGCCGAGAGAGAGGAGGAAGCAGGCTCCCCGCTGAGCGGAGAGCCCAATGTGGGGCTCGATCCCAGGACCCTGGGATCATGACCTGAGCCGAAGGCAAAGGCTTTAACCCACTGAGCCACCCAGGCGCCCCCTATTACAGTATATTGTTATAACAGTTCTATTTTATTATTACTTCTTGTTACTAATCTCTTTTGTGCTTTAAAAAAAATCTCTTACCATGTCTAATTTATAAGTTGAACTTTATCATAGATATGTATGTATAGGAAAAAAAACATAGTGTATATAGGGATCATTATTATCCCTAGTTTCAGGCATCCACTGGGGTGTGGGAATGTATCCTCCCTGGGTAAGGGAGACTAGAAGGAGGAAGGGAGAAGTAGAAACAGATGTTTATTTCAGCATTGTTTATATTAACTCAAGATTGAAAACAGCCATCAGAATGGACATTGGTTAAATAAATTATTAAACATTCACTGTAATAGTCTGATGTTTTAGAATTAGGTTACCCTGCCTGCTGATATGGAAAGAGCTTACTAAAGAAAAGCAAGTATCATATTTTAAGTAAATGCTGTTTTAAAAATATAAGTGGGTAGATATCTTTGTTCTTTCTTTTTTTTTTTTTTTAAATGTGTTACCAGATATTTAATCTTAATTGTGGTTACTTTTGGGAAACAGGATTACAGTGGTTTTCTGCAGGGAGAAAAGGCTTTCAGTATTTGTTTTATTTATAGCCTATTATTATTTATTTATGGCCTATTTATGACCTTTTTTTATGGCTCGTCTTTATTTTATTTTTTTTTTAAACATAGGCCTACGTGGGACTTGAACTCATGACCCTGAAATCAAGAGTTTCATGCTTTACTGACTCAGCCTGCCGGGCTCCTCTATGGCTAGTCTTAATGATTACTTTAAAAACATCCATAGTCTCCCTTGTGAGGGAAATTATCACTCAATTTCTGTTCCTTTTTTAAATGGTCTGTGTAATTTTGAGGGACTGTATCTTTTAAAGGTTGACCAAGTAAGTGTGAATTGCTCTTTTTATTTAGTTTTAGCCAGTCTCCCCGTTGTAAACAGAGATTGAGGAATATTCCACTAACTAGAGAGCTCTCTCCAAGCCTGTTGTTTTAAATCACTACCACCACTGTCCAAATCTGCCTTTTAAGATTATTAGGTGAAGTTAACTGTTCTTTTCTTCATACTGCTTTGGCCTTATGTTTTGCTCTGGCAGTGTAGGATCTTTAAATAGAAATCATGGATTTAGTGGACAGAGGTGTAAATAGACATTGTGTAAGTTTTTAATTAATATCAGTTTTCTATGAATAGTTTTAGCACTGAAAACCTAATATACTGAGTATCGTGATTTATTTTGAAGTAATCAATTTACAGCAACTTTCAAAGATAGTACAGAGCAATCCAGTGTACCTTTCACCTGCTTTTGCCCAATAACTTCTTGCAGAAATACAGTATAGTATCACAACTGGGATGTTGACACTAATACAGTCAAAGAAGAATATTTCCATTATCACAAGGGTCTTCTGTGTGGATTATCCTTTTACAGCCATTTCTCTTCCATCACCACCCCTCTGGCAACTGCTCCTATTTTCTCTGTTGCTATAATATTATCATTTCAAGAATGTTATCTAAGTGGAACCCTATTAAAACCTTTTCAGATTGGCTTTTTTCATTCTGCATCATTCTTCATTTTCTTCTGGATTATTATGTGTATGAATAGTTGTTTGTTGAATAGTATTCCATGATATAGGTGCACTAAATTTTGCTGTAACCACTAACCTATTATAGGACATTTAGTTATTTCTAGTTTTTGGCTATTAGAAAAAAGCTGCTTTGAAGAATCATATATAGGTTTTTGTATGGATACAGTATCCTTCTCTGACCCTGGTAATTTTCTTTTTGAAGTCTGTTTTATTTAACAGAAGGATAGTCATTCTCTCTCTCACCAACCTTTTAAAAATGTTTACATGGTATATTTTAAAAATTATTTTCCTTTCAACCTACTTATGTTGTTATATATGAAGTGAGTTTCTTATATGCTATAGATAGCATCTAGTTGGGTCATGTTTTTAATCTCGTCTTTCAGTCTGTCTTTTATTACATTTGGACAGTTTCTAATTAACATAATTATTGACCTATCAGGGCCAAGTATGTCATTTTATTTTTTGTTTCCTGGTTTTGTTTTGTTTTGCTTTTCATTTTTTTTTCTTTTTCCTGTCTTCCCTGTGGGTTATTTGAACCTTTTTAAGAACTCCATTATGATCTATTTATAGTATTTTTAGCATATAATTTTGTGTGACTTTCTAAATGGTTCCTCTAGTTCACTCTCTAGTACCTTCAGATAGTTTTTTTTTTTCTTAAAGATTTTATTTATTTATTTGACAGAGAGAGATCACAAGCAGGCAGAGAGGCAGGTAGAGAGAGAGGTGGAAGCAGGCTCCCTGCTGAGCAGAGAGCCCGATGCGGGGCTCGATCCCAGGACCCTGAGATCATGACCCGAGCCGAAGGCAGCGGCTTAACCCACCGAGCCACCCAGGCGCCCCCAGATAGTTTTTTTTGACCAGAGTTTATAGTTATAATCTTCAAGAGGTTGATCCATAAGCAGCTTATTCAGCCCTATAGAAAATGGCTCAGTATTATTTGAAATTATTACATTGTACTAAATAATACACTGTAAACAAATTTAAAAGTAGTATCAGCAAATCCTTAGAATTTCTAGGGACTTAAATATCTGGTATATTTCTAGGGTACTGGGAATAAAAATCAAGTATTTTATAAAAACCTTAATTCTGAGGTGCCTGGGTGGCTCAGTTGGTTATAGCTGCTGCCTTCGTCTCAGGTCATGATCCCAGGGTCCTGGGATCCAGTCCTGCATCAGACTCCTTGCTCGGTGGGGAACCTGCTTCTCTCTCTGCCTCTGCCTGCCACTCTGCCTGCTTGTGCGCTTGCTCTCTCTCTGACAAATAAGTTAATAAAATCTTTAAAAAAAAACCCAAAAAACCCCTATCAAAAATTTTTAAAAAGGAACCTTAATTCTGATGTTTAATGAATTCATATTTGGTAAAGTTTATTTTTTTAAGTATTTTTAAATATTATTTGCATATAAGCAAGCAATATATAGAACTCAAAGTACTCCAGTTCTAGGGATGTAACTATATACTTGTCATCTTTTTAATATATGGAATCTGCTCTTTACTATTAGATTTTCTTTTTTTTTTTTTTTTTAAAGATTTTATTTATTTATTTGACAGAGAGAGATCACAGTAGGCAGAGAGGCAGGCAGAGAGAGAGAGAGAGGAGGAAGCAGGCTCCCCGCTGAGCAGAGAGCCCGATGCGGGGCTCGATCCTGACCTGAGCCGAAGGCTGAGGCTTAACCCACTGAGCCACCCAGGCACCCCACTATTAGATTTTCATTTCTAGATTTTAATCCAGCCTGTTAACTCACTGCTGGCTACAGTAGATTTTTTATTCAGATTGGAAGCTGTAACCATGTAAATGCTGTTTTAGTTCTCCTTGATTTTATGCTGTGCCTGTGAGATTATCCTTCATATTCCTTTTGCTGAGCTTTAGCAGGTGAATGGAGGAAGAACAGCAAACTTTACCAGTAGAAGAATATTGGCTCTCCAATTCCACTGGTCACTTGGCATTTCTTGGTGATCTTTTTTTTTTTTTTTAAACTTTTTGTAATTGTTTTATTCTTGTATTTTTTTGTAAGTTAGAAGTTATTTCTGGGACTCAGTCGGTTAAGCATCTGCCTTCAGCTCAGGTTATAATCTCAGGGCCCTGGGATTCAGCCCCACATTGGCCTCCCCACTGTGCGGGGCTGGGCGAGGTCTGCTTGTCCCTCTCCCTCTGCCTGTCCTCCACTTGCATGGTCTCTCTCTCTCAAATAAATAAAATCTTAAAAAAAAAGAAGTTATTTCCAAATAAAAAACGCTTGTATACCCTTAACTTTTTTTTTTTTTTTTTTTTTTTTTTTTTTTTTTTAAAGATTTTATTTATTTGACAGAGAGAAAACACAAGTAGGCAGAGAGAGAGGAGGAAGCAGGCTCCCTGTGGAGCAGAGAGCCCGATGCGGGGCTCGATCTCAGGACTCTGAGATCATGACCCGAGCCGAAGGCAGAGGCTTTAACCCACTGAGCCACCCAGGCGCCCCTACCCTTAACTTTTTATTACATTTGCTGTAACAGTTGCATTCTCCTTACATGCATGTGTTTATGTATGTGTGTATAAGATTTTTTCTGATCCATTTCAGGGTAAGTTCTGTACATTATGGCCCTTTATACCTAACTACTTAAATGTGTATTTCCTAAAAATAGGAATATTCTCTTAACATAGCATCCTTTATCCATTCTACTTCATCATTATCCCTTGGAGGTACAATACAACTTCATTGTGTTCTGATTTCTCCTTCCAGTGGCTTTTTCCCCCCATAAAGATAAGCAGATATCTCTGTTTTTAAATTTTCCCATCTTTCTTACTTCTAGGCTTTTTTCAGTTAGCAGTATTTCCTAGAAGTCATTTCATATGAGTTCAGTAATTGAATAGTACTCTGTTTTCTCTATGTACTATAGTTTATTCAAATATGCTTGGACATTTAGGTGCTTTCCAGAAATTTTGAATTATAATCTTTGGTGAATAAATTTGTTGCATATGTATGTTTAAATTGTTGTAAATTAAATTAAATTGGTGTATCTTCAAGGTAAATTTCTAGAAATTGAATTTCTGGGTGGAAGAGAAACACGTATCTGTTTTTGTTAGGTAATGGTAAATTTCTCTCTGTAGGGATTGTTCTATTTTGTACTTATATCAGCAAAGTATAAGAGAACATTTCCCCACAGCTTTGCCAACAGAGTGTATTTTTGAGCTTCTGAATTTTTGCCTATCTCCTGGGTGATAGACCATATTTTAGTGTAGTTTTAATTTTCTTAGTCATCTTTGTTTTTTTTTGTTCTGTATTTTTTATAAATATTTATGTTTATTTAACCTGTCAGTCCTCTGTTTTCATCATCTCTCATTTCCAGGCACATACAGTCTTGTGCTTTTATTTCTTCACTTTGAAGAATTGGGTGAAAATTTGGTTACAGAACTGCCGGTGTTCCTGCCCGAATACCTGTTCTCTTCCTTTTAGTGTTTCTGCCCTTTCATTTTGCAGTACTTTTCTCTTTCAGACAAGTGAATTACAGAGTGTGAGCTGAAGCTAACTTAACCAAAAAGATAGAACTTTCCCACTGTTACTAATTTTATGAACCTGTTGTTGATAAATGATGTAGCTGCTGTAAAAGGTAAAGCTGTTTTGCTAATCTTTTATATTTCTGTAGTTGGAGCCCTCGTTACAGTCTTTTTCTTCTTTTTCCCATAGAACATTCCTGATGTAGATGAAGAAGGCTATAGTATAAAACCAGAAGCAAATCAGAATGATATCCTTTCATCATCTGGATATTCCTATATAAGTAGACAGTTTTAACACAATATTCTGTTGTTTAATAAAGACTTCAGTTTTTAACTATAATAAAATAGTTATTTTATTATAAAAGTTTTTCATTTGATGTGTTTTTACTAATGAAAGTTAGTAGTTCTATTTCTCTTAAAGTCCATCTGACCTCTTAAAAGTTTATATTCCTTTTTATAAACATGTGAAAAACTGGTTATGCATTAAGATAATTTAAAAACTAAATTCTTTAACTGATATTCACATACCAAAGAGAACCATTTCTACTCATCTAGTGATTCTGATTCTGAAGATGAAGAACCAAAGAAGTATCGGATACAGATCAAACCCATGCATCCAAATAACTCGCATCACACAATGGCTTCCTTGGATGAATTAAAAGTGTCCATAGGAAATATCACGCTCTCCCCAGCAATATCCGTAAGTAAGAAAATGAGCAAGTTCGTACTTTGTACATAGAAGCCTTTATTTATTTATTTTTTAACTCATCTGCTTGCATCTGGTTACTTTTAGCAATAGTTAACCATATTGGATAAGGAAATACTTTACAGTTTTTCTTCCTTTTTATTGAGGTATATAGTTCTGAATTTTTATATAGGCAAATAAACTTAAGTTTGGCTTAGTTTTGCTTCCCTTTGAAAGTTTTACAAGGAAACAAAAATCTATTTCTGCCATTTTATAAACAGTTTGTATGTTTGTATGTTTCAGAAATTCGAACTGGCAGTATTAATCATTTCCTCATTTAATTTTAAAGATTTTCATGCATATTTTATGAACCTTATGTGAAAATGGGAATTCCATAAAGAAGGATTTAAAGATTAAATTATATGTCTGCTGCTTTTGTAACTGCATTAGTTGTTTTCCCATGTTTTATATAAAAAAAAGGCAAATATAAGAATTCTTAGTGATTGTGGTTAATTCCTCAATTCTGACATGCCATACTTAACAGCTTTTGAGGGAGGAGAAAAAATAATCACGGTGACTAATATTTCCATTGATGTCATACTCTAAGGAGTGTGAAACTATGGGGAAAAAAGCATGTCCTAAAATGACAATTTAGTCTATCTGTACATGTTCATCATAACTGATATTAGACCTGTTCTCCTTGATAATGGAGAATAAAAGTTCTCCCCATTTTATATTGTTATTTAATATGTATTTTAGATAGCCTGTATGTATTTGGGAAAAAAGTGTTTTTCTCTCAGTCATGTACTTTTAGCATTTAATTTTTTTTCAACCAAAAAGTTCTGAAGTGAGGTTTTATTCTATCATTGCTATTTTAACACAAAGATTAGTGCACAGATTATACATAATTATTTTAATATAGATATAATCATATTAATATATGTAAATGAAAAGAAGTTATGAAACCACTAAAAATTTTTATTGTGTAAGAGCATTAACTAATTTAAAAAATAAATGTAAATAAAACCCGATCCTAGGGGAATATATACCAAAACATTAAGCACCTAGCTCTGGGTAGTGAGATCATTAATGGTTTTAAATTTTGTCCTTTGTACTTCTCTCTCTCCCCTATTTTTTAAAAGATGGTGAACATACTAGTTTTGTACTGAGAAAATAAATAATGAGAAAATCTTAATCATTAATACTGGGTTTGAAAAGAGGATAGTTTGAGTATATTTTCTTGGCCAGTTTGCTTATCTAGCTCGTGTCCCCTAACAATGATCTGCAGTTGTCTTAAGATGTATAGATTTTAGGTGTGATTCAGAAGTGAATAGACAAATTATGAAACTAAGAAAATAAGATATGTTAAATTCTAAAATGGACACTGTGTCTTTCTTTTTCTTTCTATGTACAACTAGAGACATAGCCCAGTAAGTACAAGATTTTATATTTTTACCTACTGACTTAAAAAAAAATCCTTTTGATGTTTGAATGTTTTTAAAGTATTTGTTTTAAATTTTTTAAATTAGTAGATTATAGTATCTTGCTGTAGGTACCAACATTTTGATATTTTAAAACATTTTATTGAATGTTAAAAGTACATGTATTATCTTTTACTATAAAACACTGAAAGTTTTTTTAATGTGATTTTTGAGTAGATATACTAAAAATAACTTACAATTAGGTCTCCATTAATATTTTATGAAGTCAGGGTGCCTGGCTGGCTCAGTCTGTTAGAGCATGCAGCTCTTGATCTCAGCATCCTGAGTTCAAAAACTGTGTTGGGCATGAAACATACTTTTTAAAAAACAAACAAAAAAATTTTTTTACCAAGTATTTCATTACCATATTCTTTGTTTAATGACACTTAGTGTTTGAATTTCTGTTTTAGGTGCAGATGAATCGGAATTCTTCTAGTAAGTTTAACATTTAAATTGGTTATTTTATGTCTATGAAAATGTATCAGGCAGGGGCGCCTGGGTGGCTTAGTTGGTTAAGCATCTGCCTTTGGCTCAGGTCATGATTCCAGGGTCCTGTGATTGAGCCCCAGGTTGGGCTCCCTGCTCAATGGGGAGCCTGTTTCTCCCTCTCCCTCTGCTGCTCCCCCTGCTTGTGCACGTGAGCGCGCTCTCTCTCTCTCTCTGTTAAATAAATAAATAAAATTAAAAAAAAATTATCAGGCAGTTTGCTAAGCTTATTGTAGCCTTACATATGTATTTAGTTAGAGAAATAAATGGTTTGTTCTCATCACAGCTGTTAACAACAGACTAGAAGGATACTAACTTTAAACAGAAGACAAAGTAGGTATATTATTTCTTTTATCATTTAGACATGCCTTCAAGTTTAATACTTGGCTACAACATTTTTCAGAAATCAACAAAGCCAAAGAGTAGCTTCTTTTTAACAACGTTTAAAACTGTTTTAACTGGCATAACTCTGCCTCATGAGCCAGAAGGCATTATGAGATGAGTAAGTTTTAGCTTTATGTACTTATAAGTCATATCACAATTGCAATTTGTATTACATGGGTTTTTTTTTTAGTATAGTAACTTAATTATACTAAAAAATTGGGTGGATGCTGACATCTTCTGCAGCATCATGCATTAAACATAGCAAAGGTGGGAAAAAGTAAAATTGAGGCAGCCTACTCAAAAGTTACGCAATTTTGTAAACACAAGCCTTAATAAAGATCATAATACCAATCCTATTAAAAATTCTAGCACAGTTAGGGGCACCTGTGTGGCTCAGTGGGCTAAGCATCTGCCTTTGGCTCAGGTCATGATCTCAGGATCCTGGGATCAAGCCTCAGGTTGGGCTCCCTGCAAGGTGGGGAACCTGCTTTTCTCTGTTCCTCTGCCCATCCCCCCCTCCAATTCTCTCTTTCAAACTCTCTTTCAAATCAAATTAAAAAAAAAAAAATTCTAGCACTATTGACAAGACCTATTAAATGCATAATAAGTACCAAACGAAAAGTAAGATTTTAATTTTAAAAAAGAAATGATAAGTAGCTTGATACAGGGATACCAGGAAAATGAGGATGAAAGTGGGCTACTTTTATGCAGTTACTTACATAAGGGCAGATTGCAGAAACATGGAGGTGAACAGCGCAATAGGTACTTTGGGCCAGACAGAGGGCCAATGTGAGCTCAGTGGGACTGTGTGGTATGAAGGGGCATCCTGTACAGTGTGGTATTCCTCATAGTTTGCTGCACTTATCCATTTTGGTGTGTTTTCATTTACCAGCTATTGGTTGGTGATCTAAGACATTAAGGTGCAGGGAAATTTGCTTACGAACCGACCTGACTTTTACACATTACTGATTCTCTTTACTCTGTGTACAGTTGCTAATGAAATGATTCACATTACCAGTGCACAAAGGGAGCAAAACAGTCTATCTTATAAAGACTGTTGTTCTAGGTTCCTATAAAATTTTTTCAAGATACAGTATCCTTCAAGAATAACTATTTTTGGTCAATATAATAATAGTATTCTTAGAACCTGAAAAATGCTTTCATTATTCATCAGTTCTTGAGTAATACTTAAGTATTTCAATATATGTTTAATTTTTATATTTCTAGCCCATCTTTCTCTGGTCTGAACAGCAGTTTTATTCTCATGACTATGATAGTTTCATTGATTTAAGTAATTTCTTACCAAAGATGTTAGAAGAAATGAGGACACAGCAGAAATTCAGCTATTATTTTGATATTCTCAGGTGATACTCTTAGCATGTTAGAAAACTTGTTAAAGTCTTATTTTTCCTTTTCTCCATAATTTAAGAAACTGCTATCAATTCCACAATTTTTAAATTGTTCATAGTAAAAAGTTATGTGTTTCACTTAACATTTAAATCTCAGATTATGAATTTTTTCATATTTTGGTTTTTTTAATTAGGTGAAGAGTTAACAAAATCAAAGCCATGTGCTGCTTCCAATGAGTAAGTTTCACAGTTAAATTTTATTTTTAAATAGACTATTTTTAGAGCAGTTTTAGGTTCATAGCAAAATTGAGGGGAAGCTACAGAGGTTTTGCATATATATTCACTGCCCCCATGTATGCCCAGCCTCCTTCACTATCAGAATCCCCATGAGAGTAACATTTGTTAGAATTGATGACCCTGCACTGACACATCATTGTCACCCAAAGTCTGTGGTTTACATTAGGATTCACTCTTGTTCTTGTATATCCTATGAGTTTTGACAGATGGGTAAGGACATGTGTCTCTACCATTATGGTGTCATACAGAGTACAACTGCACTAAAAATCCTGTGTCCTCTACCTGCTCATCCTTACCTTTTTACTGTGTTTAGAATTAAATATCATTCTTTTGTCCTTTTTTCCTAGAGAGTTTTATTATCTTTGCAGTTTCATTTGGCATGTTGGTAATCATCCTCTTTTCTGAGCTGTCAAACACTCTGTGGAGTTTCTAGTTGTTTTAAATTCTCATTTGATTCTATTTATAATTTAAAAAAAAATCCTTATACAGTTGTATTTGGCCTTGGTGACTTTGCTACTTCTAAATAAAGCTAGGATCCCAAGTTCATACATGTCTGTATTTCAACTAGTTATTCTCATGGGAATTTTCTCACTTTCTTCTATCAGTTTTGGCTGTGATCATGTAAAATAGACTGTCCTTTTCATGAACTTCAAAACAAGGAAATGTCTCAGTTAACTTAAAAAGGCTAGCTAGCTCTTTTTAAAAAGAAAAAAAGATGTTTTAAGCCAGTGTTTCATGGGTCCTCTTTCATTTCAGTATCTGTCAATAAGAATACATTCTTTTAATTTCTGCTTAAGTAAAAGTGTAGGCTTCATTAAATGGATAGTTTAAAATTATTTGATACTTTGAAAGCTAGGCACTAATGGAACACATTGGTGGTATTCATTTATCATTTTTAAAGATAAGTTCAGTGTTTTAAAAATTTCGTTTTTAGTAACTTTTACGCAATCATGATTTTAGGTTTTATATATAAGATGCCGTGTGCTTTCATGTAGGTGCATGTTGAGATACTAGATACATGCTTAAAGGTAATTGTACCATTTTCTCTGAAATGAGCCTGCTTTCTAAGATTTAAAAACACTGTATTAAATAATGGTAGTTTGAGACATTAAAATATTATTTTAATGGGATTAATCTTTTTAACACTTTATATATAAATTTTACTTGTTAGTCATAGCTCAGTAAAGCTGGAAATAATTTAAGAGGTGGTGGCAAAGTTCAGGTACTTCAGGATTTTAGAGGTTAGACATTTTAAAAGCTTATGACTAAAATGAAAGAAACATTCATATAAAAGTTTTTATTAAAATAAAGAGCTAGAAGATGAATCCTGAGAGAAATTAGTCCAGTAGATTTCAAGGGGTCATTGGAGGGAACTCTTTGGTTACACAGCATGTTGAGATTTTTGAAACTTGAAAGTTGATGCTCTTGATGATTTTGTCCACAGTCTTGAATGACCTCTCACAAAAAGATGTACATGATCCAAACGTTTCACTAGACTGCCTCAATAGCCCAGGCTATGGATTGTCTAGGGAGAAGTCCTGCCCTTCTATGACCTACTATAGTAATCAGACCTTTGAAGATTATATCAAGCTGTTGGGCTTACTTCTGTACTTGACAGTTTAAGAGATGAAGGAATAGAGTAAAAGATTCTTTTAAAAGTACTTAACTCTGATGTTAAAAATTTCTGCCTGATTTTCTCTGTATGATTTGGTGCTAGGTTTCAATGAGCAGACCTTACACTACTGTAGAATTAAGTACCTTTGTGTCCTTGGGCAGTTCATTTAGGCTCCAGGGGACTGCTTTTCTTCCTTTGTAAAGCTGAAATGATTTCTGTTCTTATAGCCCCAAAACCAGAGTATAACAAGGTGTGATTGGTGCAGATTAATCTTCTCTACTGCCTCCTACCAATTTTACATGTTACTGGAGGTTCTGCTTATAGTAGTTTAAAAAAAGTTTTAATTTAAACCAATATTTGTTAAGTTTCTTCACACAATCCATTGACAGAATAGCCAACTTTTAAATGCTATGTATTTAGCTGTACAATTCTGTGAGATAAAAATAAATGACTAAATTTTATACTAATAAAATATTCCTTTGTTAAAATCTTTATTTTTAAAATGTTATGGCAGGAAAGGGACCAGCGATTTACTTGCTTGGGATCCCCTGTTTGGACCATCTCTTGATTCATCTTCTTCAGCTTCATTAACTTCGTCATCGTCATCAGGTAATGTATATATGTATATGTATGTGTGTGTGTGTGTGTATGTGTATATATATATATATATTTAAACTGAGGGATTCATTAGTTACTTTTCTCCTTATTGATTTATTCATCACTTTTGTGTTATACTTAATGGTCAGAAATATTCTTATCTTCTCATATTGCCAGATAAAGTGATTTTATGCTAGTTAACTTAGCTGAAAGATCCTATGGCTTAAACAAAATTTTATGGCACACCATTTTTTTTTTCATTTTTGTATTTCCATGAATCATTCCCTTTTCAATGCCCAAATAATTCTCACTGTTCTTAGATAATTCCACTGTATAAACGTTCATTAATATAATCCGTCTTTTCTTATCAGATATTTGAGTTGCATCCAGTTTTCTAGTATTATGAACATCCATGGATAGAATTTCGTGAATGTGTCGTAATACCCTTATAATTTACCAGTACAACATTTGAGTCTCTAGATAAACCCATTGATATTTATTGCCAAACTGCTTTCCAGAAAGGCTTTAGCACTTCCCAAGCAATGTGTCAAAGAAACTTGAATGCTTTTTAGATGTTGTTTTGGCAAGAATATGTTCATTTTCTCTTTTCTTCAAAATATAAAATCCCACACTAGCCAACAATCCAAGCAGGCATCAAAATGCTTGTTAATAAAACCACTGCTTGTTCAAAGCAAGAGAATAAAATCCACTTTATGTTGGTCTTCAGCCTTCTCTGGGATTTCAGGAATGCTCTTCAGTATTTGGGGTTAGGGGAGTGAGGGAATTGTCGGGGAGAGAATGAGAATTGATTGAGTTCCTGCCACATTGCTCTGCTAGGAGTTACACATATTCTATTTAATTTCACTTCATTAACTACTCCATGAAGTCCATTTTATTGTCTCTGTTTTATAGATTAAAAAAAAAATTAAAGTTCAGAGATGATCAGGAACTTCTCTGAGATCATTTTATACGAAATGAAGAAGCATTGATTCAAACCTGGATCTTACTAATTTTCAAGTCTTCATTCTTTTCATTGCACTCTGACATATTAACTAAACTATAAGCCATACCAAAACATTTTAATATTCTGTTTATAAACCAATTTTTAAAAGAAATTGTAAATGGATTGTTAGGCAACCTTAATTCTAGTTTGGAATTTTGGAGGAAGTGGTCTATATTTAATACTTGAATAGACTGTATAAGGAAAGTAAGTATACAGGAAAAAAAGTTGTTATTATAGTCTCTTTTTTGTTTAGTGAAAATGTCAGAATGATGTTTTGTATTTAGAATGAAGAGCCTTCTAAGTAGCGTTTTTCAGTTTTGTTAATGTATTTTTTATGAATTGTTTTTTCAAAATATTGAATAAAAATTTTCACATTGGTATCACAGTGGCTTTAGTTATACAGAGATTCCTTCCTAACTGCCCTTAGTTTCTTACTCTTTTTCAGCACAGTCTCTTCCTTTTCAAAAAACTTCTTGCTTTACCTCTTGGTAACTATCTCAAGGACGTTTTACCCCTATCACTTTTAACTTCAGATTAAAAATGATTAATTTTTGTTCAGTGGCCATTTGATGTGTGGTAACTAGGAAATAAAAAGTAACAGAATGTTTTAAGTTCACTTTTGTAAGCATTTTTAAACCTTCCTATACAGTCTGAAAAATGATGAAATTATTTTATCTTCCAGAGAATGTTAGTCATGTTGAAAAGAGATGATGGTAAAAATCTCAAAAGATTTGACAGGGTGTAAAGGTGTTAGTGCTGTGTTACTCAGCAGAGTGCCTGACTGGCGAGTGATGAAATAAGGCAGAGCAAGTCAGTGTTGGAGTTAATATAAAAAACTAGTGTAATATTTTTCAAAAGATAATTTTAAGGGATTTTTGCAGATCACAAGTGGTCAGTTAATTCATGAACAGAAGAAATGGTCTACAGTAAGACTTGTCATAGGAGGGTTTTATTTATATATCAGTGTTTATACTTTTACCAACTGTTAAGAGTTAGCTTTTGTTCCTCTGAGAAAACAGGAATAATTATGGCTTATACATTTTGGACCTTCAGTTTTACTCATATGTTTTTTAAGTTTCTTAATGCTCATACTTATTTTTCTTGGTAGTAGAAAGTTTGGACTTGTGTTTTTTTTTGGAAATTGTATTACTACATTTTTCTAGTTTTGAGTGATTAAAATAACATTAACCTGAAACAAGAAAACTATCTGGCTACATAGATTCATACTTTTGTTTGAATTTTCTTGTTGCTTCTGGTGTTCAACTGCTTTCCCTTCTTTCACCTTAAGGAACTTAAAAGAGTGCAACAGAAACTCTTTGTCTCACACGGATTTGTTTGAGTGTATAGTAATTGAGTCTTTACTTGAAACCAGCATGTATTTGGAATTTGAAAAAGCAAATTGTAATTATTTGAAAGAGCTGAACCTTAATAGTTCTACCAGGCTAGGTTTGTTTGGAGTCAGTCTGAATGTCATTTGGATAGGCGATTTGCCAGTATCGGTCAGTGCTGTTTTCATTGATAATGGGCCTGTCTTTAAAGTCTGTATGTCATAGCACAGGGAATTGTTATGGTTCTCAGGTTGGTGCACACTTCTTCCAGTGAACTGTTTAAAGTAGGAGCGCAGCATGAAAGAAGTGGTGCTCAGTAGAAGAAGGCAGCAGCCTTAGAATCTGCACATGGTTTCTTAACAGCTTTATGTTGTTACCTTCAAGCAACTTGAACCTTGCTTGTATCTATTATCCCTTCATAGAACAAGCTTTCTGAAGGATTCCATACCCCTCATGCTTTGACTTTCCTATCTCTGTGACTACCTTTTTCTTTAGGTCTTTCCCTGTTTCCTCCATTCCTTCATCAGTGACCGTGGGTCCTCAGTTTGTTTCTCCATAGATTTATACTGAGGCCTATTCATATATTTTTAACTTTGCACATCTGCAAACTTAATGTAATGGTTTATATTTCTTCCCATCCATATTCTTCAGTCTGAATTACAGACCCACCTTTTAGAATGAACCAGAGGGATGATTTAAACAGGGATGCCTGTGTCGCTCAGTCAGTTCAGTGTCTGCCTTCAGCTCAGGTGATGATCCCAGGGTCCTGGGATCAAGTCCCTCCTTGGGCTCCTTGCTCAGCAGGGAGCCTGCTTCTCCCTCTGTCTGCTGCTCCCTTTCTCTCTGACAAATAAAATCTTAAAAAAAAGAAAAAAGATGATTTAAATTTGCTTCCGTTCCTCACTCTTGTTTTGTTTATGCTAATACATTTGTGACTTTTGATGATGTACACTTGAATTTCATTAATTAGGAATACTCAGGTTAGTGTCTGATTTATGAAGTGGCAGAACTTGCAGATGGCATTGAAAATCTGAACATTTAATTTATGTAGGATTTAGGAGCAGTAAACACTATATAGGAGTTCTATAAGGTGTTTTCTTACCAAAAATTAACTGTAGTGATTTGGGGGTATTTTTTTTTAAGTAGGATATTTTTAATACTTTTAATTATCACCAGAAACTTTGCAATGTAATTCAACTTGTAATAGGACTTTTAATTAAGGTGTTTTATTTAGACTTCATGTTACTACTTTGAAGGTGTTATTTCAAATAAGACTTGGTCTTACATTACTGTCAGTAGATATACTGGCAATAAACTATAGACCTTAGCCTTCAGTTGGTTTATTCTCTCTAGATTTATCAGATTTTATTTTTTAATGTGTGTAAAGAATTAAAACAGGAATAAGTTGCTATGTATCAGTTCTATTGAAAAGTTAATGTGTGTGTGTAAGTGTGTGTGTGTAAGTGTTTTTTCCAGGAATATTGTTAGCTCAAGAAAAGCTTATTTGCTAGATTCCCAGTATTCCAACAAATATCTATAATTATATAAGTATTTAAAAACTCCTGAAAATGAGCTTTGACTCCTAAGAGTTCCTCTATAATAGAATGTCTTTATGTACGGATTGCTACATACTAATGATTTTCTTCAAATTCTCTTTTTCCCCTTACCAGCCAGGCCCACAACTCCTCTTTCTGTAGGCACCATTGTCCCACCTCCAAGGCCTGCTTCCAGACCAAAGCTTACTTCAGGCAAACTCAGTGGGATTAATGAAATAGTATGTACTCAGATTTTTTTTTTTTTTAAATTATAACTGTTTGATGTAAGATGCAAATGATATTTTTTTCTATATGCCACATTACAGTTAAGCACTTGGAATTATCTACTGGAGTCTTAAAACTATAGAAAAGTTTTTCCAGACATTTCCTTTACTCCCTCATATTATCTCAGTGATCATATGCATGGAATAAGACATTGTTCAGGAGGAAATGAGATTCCTGAGAAAGCATATAATAAAAATATCATTCAGTATCCGTTCTTTCGCATTTAAGAAGCAATACTCTTATAATTCTGCTTTAAGTCAAATGTTAAGGAAGAAATGGTGGCCATTCTTAGGACTTAGAAGTATACTGGCAGGAAAATCCTGGAGGGCATCCAGTCCAGCTTTGTTTTATACATAAAGAAACTAGAGTTTGTTCAGGTCACTTAATTGACTTGTCAAAGTACATGTTGCTTCTAGAAAAAAGCATCAGCCTACAAAAGTTGTCAGATAATTAAAGGAGATCTACAAGTAATATTCAGAGTGAGCTGCTCCCAAACCAGTCTTCTTGCCTCTCATCTCTTCTGCTTTGCTTAATGTTTTACACTAATTGCCAGTATTACATTTCTAAAAGTCAAGCTTAACCTTCCTTTTCCCCAGATAGACATTTCCAGTGGTCCCCCATAATCCATATCGTTGAATGTTTTAGCTGAATGTACAAGCCTTTTTATCGAGTGGCCTCAACAACTTACGTTCTTACCTAACTGCCCAACTTTCTCCTCTTTGCAACCTGTGCTCCAGCCCTCTGAAACTTTCCAGTGTTCCCCAAACACATCATGTTCTTTTATGCACCCATGTCTTTTGCTCCCTTTACTGAAATGTCCTTCAGTTGTCTATGTAGGAAACTGGTCTCTTTTTTTTAAGATCCAGCTAAATATCATCTAGCTAAAGCCCTCTTTGATCATTACTCTTCCCCCCAAGTAGATGTAATCATTCTCTTCCTTATACCCATATACTTTGCTCAAATTTCTTTTAGTGTACCAATTATGTTATATTTCTTTCCTTGTATATTCCCTTCACCAGACTATACCTTAGCCAGTCTCATACTTTGCATAATGCCTGTCGCATAGTGAGATGTTGTTTCATGAATAAATGAAAAGGCTGGAGCACCAAGTGTTGAAATGGTGACATCTTTCTCCTCTTATCCTAACGAACAGACTTCAGGGAGTGAACTCAAAGACTCTAGGTACAGGCTGCCAAGGAGATGATTATTTGAGCAATACAAAAATGACTAGCTCTTATTACCATAGGATTTTTTTCCTGATTGTAAGAGATCATATAAAATTTGGGAATTAGAGAAGACACAAAATTAAAATCCCTTCCATATTTCATGACCCAAAGATACCCAAACTTTTTATATATACTTTTCATTAATTTTTGAATGCTTAAGTATTTATTCATTCACAGTAAAACATAGTTGTTAAAAATGCAAGCTTATTAGTGACTAATTACTTGAGCAACATTAGCCAAATTATATATTTGGAGTCTCTCTTTCCTTATGGGTAAATAGGTATAAAGAAAATAGGTGGTGTGAAACTTAAATGAGTTACTATGTGTAAAACATAACTTTATGGAGTGCGAATAATTGCTCAAAGTTACTGTGAATGATAAATCAAAGGTCATACCTTACATTTTTTTTACTCTTCACTTGAAAATATTTGGGGGATATCTTTCTATTTCATGAATTATTCCATAGATTTCAAACTTCTTTCAAGTGGTAGAATCCTTTGTCAAATGATCTTTTAAGTTGCAAGTCTATTAAGTAAATAAAAGTGGGACTTTTATACTCGAATCTTTCACCCTTTACTCCCTGCGGTAGCCTGGCAAACCTTCTAGAAACCATCCTCTGAGGGCTTCAAGGAGCACCTTTTGAAACAGCTGCAGAGCATAAATGCTCTATCTTGTAATACCACTGTCAGCATTAAAATTTCAAAGGTTTTTAGAGATGTGATTATTTGACATTTAGTTTATATGTAAATTTTCATTATTCAGTGTTGTCTTAATGATTTCATTATAAACAGTGTTTTAATGAATATCCTTTTATTTACTTCTTTGCAGACATGATTAACTTAGTAAAAAAATTCAAGGTAAAATTCATGGACTAAAGACACATTTTTAAGACTCTTGATGATTTTTATTGCTGTCTTGCCCACCAGGAAGTTTATGCTGATTTGAATTCTCTTCAGCTGTACATCAGAGTGCTCTTTTCCTTGCATGCTTGTATGTGCACTTTTCTGGGGGAGACTAAATGTTCACAGGGTCTGTAATCACACCCTTTCACATTCCTATAGTGAATGCCTCATTGTTCTAGAGCAGTTGTTTTCAAAGTTTGTTCTCCAGACTAGCAGCAGCATTACCATCACCAAGGATCTTGGTAAAAATGTAGTTTCTGTGGCTCTACCCCAGACACATCAGAAATTTTGTCAAGTGGCCCTCCGAGTGATTCTGATGCATGTTTGGGTTTAAGAACTGCTGTTCTTAAGTAGTGCTATTCAATAGAAATACCATGCAGTAACACATATAAAGTTTCATAGTAGCCACATTAAAAAGGAAAAACAGTGAAATTAACTTTTTATTTACTCATCACATTTAAAAAAAATCACTTTATAATGTAAGCAGTATAAAGAGTGAGAATATCTTTTCTGTTTGTGTGTGCTAAGTCTTCAAAATCTGTGTATTTTATACTTAAAGCTCACCTCACATTTGGACTAGCCACATTTCAAGTGCTAGTGGCTACTGTATTGGACAGTGCCATAAACCACTTGAAAAAATGGGTGTGGTTTTGTCTTTTCCTAAAAAATTACAAAGTACACATTCTAAATTGTAAATTATAAAAATGTAATGACATGACATTGGTCATGAGGCCATGTTGCTATAGGAGAAATTTCCCCCACAGTAGTTGATCAAGTGTTTTTTTCTAAGCTTGCAGGTTTTAGATTAGCTGTTGAATTATTATGTGTTTGGCCTCATGCCATGCACTACTTCCATCTGTATACATAGGGAGCTGCAGTTTCAACCTTACTATATTTTTTCAGTCTATTAGTCATCATTATCAGGTCATCAGAAAGCCATTCTCTGGAACCAATAGTTGAAAAATAGTTAATTGCGGGAGTAGGGGTTTACTTAGTATAAAACAGTTTGGATGGGATCTAATTTTTATGTAAGTGTGTATCTGTAAGTGTATATTAATAAAATCAAGAGTTCACCAATTTCAGTGTGTGAATGCTTATAAAGGGTTTTGTTTTTGCCATTTGTTTTTCATGTCCTTCAGTCAGTTGAGGCCAGGAACAGTATCTTTTCATCGCTTTGTACGTAGTTCATAACCCATGACACATAGTAGGCACTAGAGAAGTACTGTTTTCACTTAATACTTTTACAGGCAGGAAACTGTTATTTTTAAATAAGGAAAATATGCCTTATTTTAAAAAATGAAATCCCTGAGGAAGTGTTGCTCATCTATTATTGGAACACTTAGGAATGTGAAATGGAAAAACCCCTCCAGGTAAAAGAAATGAACTGAAGTTCTAATTTTTGTATTTGTTTTTATGTTTAGAAGAGTGGGAAGGCAGTAGAATTAAGATTTTCTCAAACCTCTTTTATGGGGTAAACTGTCTCAATAAAGAAACATTACAAGGAATTATAAAGGGAAAATGGACATATATGTAAAAACCAAAAGCAAAGGGCAAACAAGATTTAGGGGTTGCAGAAAATAAAGCAAAGGATTAGTGAAAGCTCAGGTTATACTAAGCCCTCCCAAAACTAAATCAGAGGAAGCTAGCAAAGACAACTATAAAAGGCGCAAAATGCCAATCTTATTTTTATCAATTTAAAAAATTTTTTTCTTTCTTCTAAGGCTCATCCATTCATTGCTGACAAGGGTACAAAGAAATACTCTCTTACGGGACGCCTGGGTGGCTCAGTTGGTTAAGCAGCTGCCTTCGGCTCAGGTCATGATCCCAGCATCCTGGGATCGAGTCCCGCATCTGGCTCCTTGCTCGGCAGGGAGCCTGCTTCTCCCTCTGCCTGCCATTCTGTCTGCCTGTGCTCGCTCTCTCTCCATCTCTCTCTGACAAATAAATAAAATCTTTATTAAAAAAAAAAAAAAAAAGAAAAAAAAGAAATACTCTCTTACATTTATAGGCAGTAAAGTGAATAATCCTTTTGGGAAGCAGTTTGGCAGTATGTATGAAAAGCCTTCATACTGTTTAAACTTATAGTTTAACTTCTGAGAATCTGTCTTAAACATACTTTTTGAAATGGAGAAAATATTCTGTGTATAAAGGTTCTCTCAACAGCATTATTTTAAAATAATAGCCTTCTCAGCCTTTAATCTCCTCTTGAAAAGGATTTGACTTATGGCATTTGTTTTTAGTTATAAGAAACAATAAATTTGGTTTAGTATATTAAACTTAATTTTACCTGATACCTACAAATCTTGTCTTATAAGGAAGAACTGTTTTAGCATTTTGGTAAATAACTTTTTGTTTTTAAGCCCAGGCCATTCAGCCCACCTATAACTTCCAATACCAGCCCACCTCCTGCAGCTCCTTTAGCCCGGGCAGAAAGTTCTTCCTCTATCTCATCTTCAGCTTCATTAAGTGCTGCCAACACTCCAACAGTAGGTAAGTGATTATCAGAGATTACTTGTGATAGTCAGCATTCCAAGAATGGTCAGACTGAATTTTGTTTTTTAATGAGCTGATGAATAATTTAACATTACAAATTTTGATTTTTTGGAAACACAGCTGGCATTATCAGACTAACCACATTTTCCTTTTCTGTTACACAGTTTCTATTATTTGAATAGGAGGCCTTTTTTTTTTTTTTAACACTAAGAGTATATCAAATTTATAAACTACTGACCAAATAGTTGAAGGCGAAATATAATGCAGTCCTTTCTCATATGAAGTGATACTGGCATTCCTCAGTTTTTATTTTAATAATGATTCAACTTAAGAAAGGAGTTTTGTGCTTGCAATTAAGTATTTCTACAAGAATTTAAGTCATGAAGATCTAAAAGTAGTGGATGTTAAGAGTACAGGCATATAAACCTAGATCCCACCAAATAAATCTAGTATTATATTGCATCTAGATTTTGCTCAAGACATTTTTCTGTCTTCACTTCTAGCTATTTTTCTCTACAAATTCTTAGTTTTCTTGACCACCGTTAATAAAGGAAAAAGCCACTTAAAGCTGCTGTTATGGGAGTGACAGCTTCCTATCAAAATTAGAACAGTTCCTACTCCTGCTTCTAAGTAGTAATGAGTCTATCTTTGATATTGCCAATCACTGATGCACACAACTCAGCATAATTCTGTAGTTCTCAAAGGGTGATCCTTGTACCTGCACCATCTGTCTGCATCACCTGGAAGCTTACTAGAGACAGAGACCTTTTCAATCCCAGACTGGTGTGGGGCTAGCAGTTTTTGAATGGGCCTTCCAGGTGATTGTGATGCATGCTAAGTTTGAGAATAATAGCCCTATTTTAAGCAGATTTAATTATATCCAGTTTGTTAAAACTCAGAAAGGAGAGAAGTGCATTTTCTAAGTGTGGCCATTGTAAAAATGACATAATATAGGCTAATGGAAGTTTAAAAGTTACTTGATTTTTTACATGTCCAAACATGATGTTACCATCCTATTTTACATACCTTTATGAGCATATAATTTTTCCTATCTTTTACTTTCAGGTAGAGTACATCTAGTAAGTTTTTCTTTTTGCTGTATTTAGCACTTTATTCATGTATTTTCTTTGTATCTGTGTTTTTATTAATTTGGGTTTTTGCAGACTGTTTTAGTCATAAAAAAACATAGAGGGGTCCTTTAAAAGTTAGGTGGTCTGGGTAACCAAAATTTGGTTTAGTTCTCTATTTTCTCTAGGTTATTTAGAAGGATTTCAATTTGTGATGGAAATTATTTTGATTGAGTAGGTACATATTTGTTTTTAGTTTGGGCCAGTGCCAGCAATAGGAAAACCACAGGTAGGTGATAGCTATTACACTGACAGGTGGGATGTAATGTGGATTTTGTACAACAAGGCACTTTAAATCTACCATAAAAGTAGAGGTTTTTTTTTTTATTACAATGCTTATTCAGCTCTGTTTAAGGTTTTGATTCTTCTTGAAAATATTTTTTTTTCCTGCAATATTTTGTATTTAAATATGATAGAAGATGATAATTTGATTGGGACACTCTCTGAAATTGAAAAGCACTGTGAGACTTCACAAGGTACTGTATCAGAAGCAATATATGTGTTGACTAATGTTCCTAAAGTGTATCTAAAATACTTTGTTACCTCATTTTTCCTTTTTCAGCAATGTATCCTGTCTCAGAAGTCAAGAATAACTCTAAGGTTTAACTTTCTCGATTTTGTACTAATTATGTCCAGTTGCTGTACAGGATCTATTGATATCAGCTCCCCACTTTTAAAAACCTATAGTGTTTTTGTATTGCCCTCCATCTGCTTGCTTTTCTTTCCTCCTCAACATTAAGAACCGTCCATAAATCTTACTGCTAAAGGTGTCAGAACCATAGAAAAAGTGATGAGAAAAGAAGCAGAAAAACTATGTCAGTTTAAAAAATGGTAATACCTCAACTATCGGAGCAAAGGCTGTCCTAGGAAAGCCATTCATATTGTGAGGTGAGGTATAAAGGTAGCCAATAATTGGGAGTGTTTTTTAATCCTGAGCCGAAAGGAATTCCACAAAATTATTCATTGATTGTTATAGGAAGATACTTCTTACTTCAATTTTATAAGCTCTCTGCATTTTCAAAACATACGGTTGTTTAAATATAAAACAATGACTCCAAAATTAGAACCCATGATATCCTTCTAAAGACTACAAGGAATTTATTTCTAAGAAATGATTTATTCTGAATAGTACTTTATAAATTAGACTCCTTTGCTATGTGAAGGACTTGGTTACATATGTCCCATGTCAAACATTTTTTTTTTGAACTGTGCATGTGCAGTATGATCTTGAAAGGAAAAGAATAGGAAGTACTAAAGAGGATATGCCAAGATGTTAAATGTATTTTGAGTTTTTTCCCCTACTGTTCAGTGTTTTTTTTCCTACTTGCCAGTGTTTCAGTAATAGACTTAAAATTTAGAGGGACTGTTTCAAGAATTCTCAATTTATATGCCCAAATTGGATAACTGAAAATAATAACATGTAGGTTTCTTTTCATTTTCTTTGTCAAAGTAGGAACATTAATGTTACCCATGACTGTGTAAATCTCCATTTGTTGTAGGTGGTTTAAGGGAAAAGATTAAATTCACAGTTGAGAATATAGTTTTGTTTAGTAAACAATATAATAGCTTTCACCTTCCTCTGAAAAATACAATTTTCTGAATTTCTGGTGACCCTGTAGTTTAGAACAATATATATATATTTTAAAAAGTTTACTGTTTGCATAGTTGTATTCAGTTAATCTATACTTAATCTGCTTTTTTCCCTCAACATTTTCTTATGCATATATCTGGAATTTCTGCCTTTTGATCAGCCCCTTATCTTTCATTTAATAATCTCTCACCTGATCCAGAATTGAATCCCTGACAACAGACATTTTTCTCTTCATTCCAGGATCCACTCTGTGTTCAGAGTGATCTTTAGTAAATGAAAAATATAGCCATGTTTCTCTTAAACATTTTTAGTGGTTTTTAGTGTCATAAAGATAAAATTAAAGGTCCTCCATGCTGTGATCTGGGCCTTAAACATTTCTCTAGACACGTTTCCATCTCTTCTCATCTTTCTAGTCATCCCTCATTGACCAAGTATGCTCATGCTTTGTAAAACTACTTTTGGTTCCAAAAGACAGCATTTTTTTCCATGCCACCTTGGCTTAGTGCTGGACACATGTTAGAGTTAGTAAATAGTAGCTGTTGTGATTTTTTTTTTGAGATTTTTATATTACTCAGTTTTAAATTTTCATATGAAATTAAGTTTTTCTTTTTTTTCTTTAAACAGTTGGGGGGTGGGGGCAGTTACTTTTCCCATTGGCCTAGAAGCAGTTCTTATTTTTCATCCCTGAGGTATTTTTTTTTTTTTAACTATGAAGAACTTTCTAAGGCATAATTCCTTCAGAATATTAAATACCACCAAATCTTCTTAGCTGTTAAAGCTAACAAAAGATCTGTTTGTAGAATCTCAGTGTCACTTGTGAGGCAGAGAGTACTGATTTTTGTCAGAACTAGTATTTTAGGTATTTCAGAAGTAACACAGATTTATAGACCAAAAGCATACATCCAAATTTCTGAGACATCTGTTGACCTAGATTGTTCATTCTTTTTTTTTTTTTTTTTATATTTTATTTATTTATTTGAGAGAGAGAATGAGAGAGAGAGCACGAGAGGAGAGAGAACAGTGGGAGAAACACTCTCTGGCGATCAGAGAGCCTCATGTGGGACTCAATCCCAGACTCCAGGATCATGACCTGAGCAGAGGGCAGTTGCTTAACCAACTGAGCCACCCAGGAGACCCCCTAGATTGTTCATTCTTAAGAGAAAAACTGAATAAACTGTATTATTGGCTTTTTTTTTTTAAAGAAATTTCATCATTTATTGTATATTAAATAAAATGCTCCACTTGCCAATCAGTAGCAGTAGTGGTAAGGTTTAACAGGAAGAGTACATTTGTCCAGAAAGGCAGTCAACTATTTTGAGGAATTTTCCTATTATAAAATAAAGCTGAAACTTTACTTAGGTTAAAGAAAAAAACAAACCTGTACACATGTATAGATTAAATTTGTTTACTTGAAAATAATGTTTATATGAGTTGACTTTAAAGGTATATAAACTAAGTAAGTAAACTTTATATCAGGAATGTTATAAAAAATAACATTATTAATCCCATTTGTCAAGGTAAGGAAATAAAATGTAAGCATTAGACAAAGAAGAAGTAAAAATTATAATTAGTGTATCATTTAGAAATAGCTGATGTATGGAAGTAGCTGAAATACAAAAACCCAGTTTAATGCCCTGCTGTATGTGATTGGTAGAACCGGAAACAATTTAGTATCTGAAGGGTTGTGAAGAAATGTTTTACTAATTTTAGTTGTTCAGGGGAGGGGCTTTTCCTTCTGATACTTCTTAACCAAAGTGTTCAGTGTCATTTCATTTAAAAGAAGTCAGTGTGACATGTTTTCCTGATTTTTTTTTTTTTTTTTTTGGTCCTCTGTATTATGTTTCAATGTGTTCTGTGCTCTATTTCTTAACCTCCAGATTTACACATGGGCCATCAGTGGAATCAGTAATAGAGTCATTTGTGACAAGCTAACATTATGAATTTACCTATCTTGTTATTTTATAAATGTCTTTCTGTAGGATTTAACAAATGAATTGTATGTATTCTAGGTGTGTCACGAGGTCCCAGCCCTGTCAGCCTTGGAAATCAAGACACCTTACCTGTGGCAGTTGCCCTCACAGAATCTGTTAATGCCTATTTTAAAGGAGCAGATCCCACCAAGTTAGTTTTTTTTTTTTTATTTTTTTTATTTTTTTAAAGATTTTATTTATTTATTTGTCAGAGAGAGAGAGAGAGAGAGAGCGAGCACAGGCAGACAGAATGGCAGGCAGAGGCAGAGGGAGAAGCAGGCTCCCTGACGAGCAAGGAGCCCGATGTGGGACTCGATCCCAGGACGCTGGGATCATGACCTGAGCTGAAGGCAGCTGCTTAACCAACTGAGCCACCCAGGCGTCCCCCACCAAGTTAGTTTTAAAAAGATGTGTGTGTGTGTGTGTGCGCGCGCGCCCACGCGCGCGCACGTGCATTTAGTAGAGAGAGGGCCTAGTGGTAAATTTTCAGTTACGTTTTGATTCTGTAATAGAGTTTTCTGTTTCTTATTTACCTGCCTTTTTTGTTATCAAATATAGTCATTTAGCAATTGTCTTTCTTAAAAAACAAAAAATCACTATAATCAGCAGTAGTAATGGCTTTCCCCCCCCCCAGTTTATTTATATTCTTCCCCAGGGTTTATGACCATTATGACCCATCTGTTGTTTGACATAACTGCAGAGCAGGATGATGGCAGATGACTAGAAGGGGATAGAACTCTGAATCTTGGCTTAATGTATATCTTTGGTAAAATGTTATGTTTGCCAGAGACCTAGAATATATGTCTCATTTTTTTTTAAGATTTTATTTATTTGACAGAGAGAGAGATTACAAGCAGGCAGAGAGAGACGGGGAAGCAGGCTCCCTGCTGAGCAGAGAGCCCGATGTGGGCTTGATCCCAGGACCCCAGGACCACAACGCGAGCTGAAGGCAGAGGCCTAACCCACTGAGCCACCCAAGTGCCCCTATATGTCTCATTTTTAAGACTCTTGTCAAGGAGTCAGTTTAACCCCCTTCTTTTAAGAAAAGATTTTGGTGAATGATCACCCCTACCTTTTGTGTATAAAACATATATTCAACATATATTCATTCAACATATATTCATTCATCAAATATTTGAGTGCTTAACTATGTGTAAGCACTCATGCAAGAAGCAGCTTGTTAGTTTTCTCTTATGGTAATGCAAACCTTTTAGAGTAGAACTTTGTTTTCTTTAGTGAAGTATCCTCCACACTTGAGTACTTGATGGATAATTATATGTTGAACAACATGTAAGGTAATGGTATTGATATGTGCTATGAAGAAAAATAAACTAGGGTAGGAAGAGACAAGAGTTACAGTAGAGGGCTACTTTTTTTTTTTAAGATAACCTTTTTGATGTTAAATTTAAGGAGATGTTTCAAAGACATTGTGGAGCAAACCATGCAGATGTGTGAGGGAAGAGCATTCCAGTGAGTGTAAAAGGCTGAGATAGAAGCATGTTTGGCATATCTGATGAACAACATAGAGATTATCATGTCACTAAGTTGGAGTTAGCAAGGGAGTAGTCAAAGATAAATCCTTAGAGGGGCCAGATCAGGTTGGAAATTATAGACCATGGTGAAGAGTTTGGAGTTTATTTTGAGTAAGGTCAGAAGCCAGAGAACTGATGAGGTTGCCTAGCTTTTTGAAGAAGCACTCTGGCTGCCATATAGAGAATAAACTAGAAGGAGCCAGAGTACAAACAGAGAAGATTAACTGCAGCAGTCCAGGTGAGAGATGATGGTGGCGTATATAAGGTTATTAGCTGAGGAGATCATGAATGATAATACGATATTGAATTCCTTTTGAAAACAAGGGTTGTCAAGATTTGCTAAAGGAGGAGATTGGTAGGTTTGAAGTACTTATTAAGACAACTAAATATGTGATTCTGGAGTTCAGGGAATAGGTCTTAGGTCATTAATTTGTATATAATCCTGAAAGCCACAGGCCTCAGGGAATAGAGAAGAGATCTCATGAGAACTATCGCTCCCTTCAGTGCTTTGAAAACAGGAAGATGACAATGATTTGGTAAAGGAATTTGATACAGCATGCAGCAGGAGAGGTGAGAGAACCAGTAGAGCAGTGTCCCAGAAATGAAGTGAATAAAACCCTCTCATGAAGGATGGTGTGAAGCTGTAAATGATGCTGATGATACGTCAGGAAAAATGGACCTTTGACATTCTGGAGATCGTTGGTGACATTTACCAATGATTTTAGTTGAGTGTTGGAGATGAAAGCATGTTTGGAGGGAGTTCAGGAGAAGGAGATGATGCAAATATGGCTATACTTGGAAAGAGCAAGTGTAGAAAATTTTCAAGATGTTTTGTTGCAAGTGGAAGGAGAGAGGTGGAGTGGTAACAGTGGAGAAATGATAGAATCAAAGACAGTTTTTATTAATTTTAGTTTGTTTTTTAAAGATACATTTTAGCATGTCTGTACACTAATTGGAAAGATCATTATTTTTGGAAAAATTTGAACTTTCAGGAAAAGGTACAATTCCATGGGTAATTCTACATATCCTTTGATATGTGGAAGGAGATGAGCCTTAGTGCAGAAGCAGTGAAATTGGCCTTAAGTGCATTGACTGGTCATCTGTTGAAACAAGAGGGAAGGTATGAATACAGAGTCTAGTAGGAGTTCAGTTCTGAGGCTGTAAGTTCTTTCCTGACTTTATTTCCTCAGTATAATTTGAAGTCAATGACTGTGACTTTGGGGGAAGGAATACTGCATGTTGGGAGGAGAAAGAAGATATGAGAAGAGGTAACACTGCATAATGATGGACCAGGAAATCCCAAGAGACAAGGAAATGAGGTTTTGAAGGAATGAGTGAAAATATAGTAGGAACAGTGGATTGTGGAAGCCTTGAGGAGGTTGGAGACTTGGAGATGTGGTATTAGACAGAATGAGCCAGGAAAAGAGGAAGTGGCCATTAGAGGAAGTGGCCATTAGAGGAGTGGGGACACTGAAATTGAGATGATGGAGGGGCTTTGGTGTGTCTGAGGTAGGCTGGAAGACAGGATCATTGGAGGTAAGGGGCTGAGAACTAGGTGAACAAAATATCAAGAGGATTATCTGTGTGGATGTTGAAATGGCTACAAATTATGATAATAGTGGTGCAGACACAGACTTGACAGTGGGCCAAGAGCTAAAATTTTCAGGGAAATGAAAGGGAATATTGAAGGTAACTTGAAAGGGATGGAATACCAAGTAGTATAGTTTGACGGTGTGGGTTACAAAGGGGGCTGGAGATCTTTTGGAAGGAAGTCGGAACAGAGAGTTGGAAGGGGCAGTGAGAAGCAAAGAAGACCTCTCCCACTGCCACTGTCAGGCCCAGGACTCTGTGGGGTTTTCAGGGAAGAAGACCTGCAAGTGGAGATAGTGTTAGGGAAGGAGTGTCTTTATAGGACAGCCAGGGGAATGTTTCCACAAACAAGTGGAGGAATACAAGCTTTATGCTTGCATTTGTGTTTAGAGTTTAAGTCTAAGCAAAGACGATGATATGTGCATATGCCATTTCACACAAAATCATTTTTTAAAAAATTGAAAAAATAATTGATCCATAATTATGACAGATTTTTTATGTGTCCTTCTTAAACCAAGCATGTTATTAAAACACCTTATATACACCACTTAAAATTTTCCAACTCCCTAATTTCAGGTGTATTGTGAAGATCACTGGTGACATGACAATATCATTCCCAAGTGGAATTATTAAAGTCTTCACTAGCAATCCATCTCCAGCTGTGCTGTGCTTCAGGGTGAAAAATATCAGCAGGCTAGAGCAAATTCTTCCAAATGCACAACTTGTGTTCAGGTTTGTGTACTTTTGTTTTGAGGGTAAAATTTCTGTAAAACTTTTTTTTCCTTCTTTATTGAAGCAATAAATAATTGAGTTGGGTGACAACACAGCCTGCTGTTGCTTGTGTGTTTTGGGTGGTAGTAGTGGTGGTGGTAGTTGTTAAATCCTTCTCTCCTGTCCATTATCTCAGTGTTCAGGCACTGTTGTGTTCTATTCTTTATCCCCCTAACTTTAGTTTTCCATCATCCCACCTTTTGGGTTATTCCTACTAGTCTTCCCCCGGGTCACCAAATGACAATACAGAAGCAAAGGATAAAGCCAAGTCGGATAAAATAACAAAAATATTTCTTATGCATACAGTGATCCATCACAGTGTGATTCTAACACAAAAGATTTTTGGATGAACATGCAAGCTGTTACTGTCTACCTCAAGAAGCTATCAGAGCAAAATCCAGCTGCTTCTTACTATAATGTAGATGTATTAAAGTATCAGGTGAGTATCTTATCCTTACAAAAGTCCTAAATTAAAATAATAGAATCTCACAGATTAAATGAGTAATAGGTCATGGCCAAATGAGGTTTATTCCAGAAATTCAAGAATATTTCCTTTCCTTTTTTTTTTTTTAAGCTAGCATTTTTTTTTAAGTTTTATTTATTTGACAGACGGAGATCATAAGCAGGCAGAGAGGCAGGCAGAGAGAGAGGGGGAAGGGAAGCAGATTCTCTGCTGAGCAGAGAGCCCGATGCGGGGCTCCATCCCAGGACTCTGGGATCATGACCCAAGCCGAAGGCAGAGGCTTTAACCCACTGAGCCACCCAGGTGCCCCAAAGATTTTATTTGTCAGAGAGAGAGATGGAGTACATGAGCTGCACAAGCAGGGGGAGTGACAGGCAGAGGGAGAAGTATCCTCCCCACTGAGCAAGGAGCCCTGATGGGGGACTTCATCCTGACCTGAGCCGAAGGCAGATCCTTAACCAAACCAGTGAAGCCACCTAGGCATCCCTAAAGATACTTCAAAATAAACTCTGTTAAGCCAAAGTAAATAGATGATCAAATTCACAATTAATGCCTACTTAAAATACTGAGTAAATATAAATATGTGAATTTGTCCTTAACCTGAAAAGACCAACAGCATCAATCTTAACGAAACACATAAAGCAGTTATAAAGTCTGGAATGGCAGACACCTGTTATGCTCATTAACAGTATAAGATTTTTCTGGATGTGTTAGGACAGGTAGACAAGAGAATAAATTAAGCAGTAATAAACACTGGAAGGAAGAACCCAGATATTACTTACAAATGATATTATAGTCCTGAAAAATCCAAGGGAACCAACTCAAAAACTATTTGCTACAAGAGCTTTTAGTAAAGTGGTGAGTGTAGTGCAAGAAAGTAGTAGCTTTCTAAATAACCAGTTAGGAATTCTAATGCAGAAAAGATAATGACAACAACAAAAAGAGTAATCAGAGTTGGAGGTCGTATAAGATGACAACCTAGGAGGATTCTGAATTCTCCTTCTAAGGACACACCAAATCTACAGCTATATCTGAACAATTTCCTCTAAAAAAGACCTGAAAGCTACCTGAATGTTTCCTTCACATTAGCAAACAAGAAAAGGGTCACATGGAAGCATGCAGGAGAGGCTGATACCCAGTCTCCCTACAAACCCCACCTCCAGCACTGCAATCCACAATCAGAAGGGAACTCACAAACCTCGAGCTTCTTCCTGAGTGAAAGGTTCCTGTCCCACATTGGGCATCCCAACTTCTAAGACCTGTGCCTGAGAAAAGAGCCCCCAAAATATCTTGCTTTGGAAAGCAACAGAGCTGATAGCCATGATACACAGGGCTATAGTGAATCTGCAAACCCTTATAAAGGGCTCTTACAGAGATTCACTCACCTTAGGGACCAGGGCAGAAGCAGCCATTCAAAAGGTACTCAGACTATATGTGAAAGAGATTCATTTGCTAATTACAAAATGTGAGCCAGTGAGGCAGGGGCCTGTATAGGGATACTCTCCAGGGATAGAGGATTAGCAAATTAGTGCTAATTTACGAAAGCTGGCAGGTGCCATATATATATACACATTATTTTATTCCAGGCTTTTTTTTTTTTTTTTAAGATTTTTTTATTTGTCAGAGAGAGAGAGTACACACAAGCAGGCAGAAAGGCAGGCAGAGAGAGGAGGAAGCAGGCCCCCCCCTCCCCCCGCCAAGCAAAGAGCCCGATGTGGGACTCGATCCCAGAACCCCAGGACCATGACCCGAGCCGAAGGCAGTGGCTCAACCAACCGAGCCACCCAAGCGTCCCCAGGCTTTTTTTTTTTTTTTAAGTTGGTACCATCTTTACCATCCAGGGAACATAGGCTGAACAGTGTCATTTTTACACTCTCCCTCTGCCATGCTACAGCTTGCTGATACCCTCCATAAAGGAGCTTACAAACTTGTCTGGCCCTGGTTTTTTTCAGCTATTGCCTAGCAGACACCTGTAGATTGCCTGGTCTGGTGGCTAGCAGGTCTTATGCTTGTGGTCTTACAAGTCTATGTATATTTGCTTTCTTTAAAAGCTGCTACCTGACGGTTTGGGTTCCTTCCAGTCAGTCTCAGTGTAGGTACTGAGATTACCTCTTTTGGAATAGTGACAGGTCTTGGCACTATTGGGAGCTATTGAAAAAGAATAGGCTGCTTGGATAATCACCAAGTGTCAAGAGACAGGTAGCAGCTAGGGCAAGGGTTATCTTTTGGTTTTTTTTAAAAGATTTTTTTTTATTTATTTATTTTATTTATTTTTAAAGATTTTATTTATTTATTTGACAGACAGAGATCACAAGTAGGCAGAGAGGCAGGCAGAGAGAGAGGAGGAAGCAGGCTCCCCGCTGAGCAGAGAGCCCGATGCAGGGCTCGATCCCAGGACCCTGAGCTCATGACCTGAGCCGAAGGCAGAGGCTTAACCCACTGAGCCACCCAGGGGCCCCTAAGATTTTATTTATTTATTTGATAGAGAGAGATCACAAGTAGGCAGAGAGGCAGGGAGAGAGAGAGGAGGAAGCAGGCTCTCGCCAAGCAGAGAGCCTGATGCAGGGCTTGATCCCAGGACCCTGAGACCATAACCCGAGCCGAAGGCAGAGGCTTTAACCCACTGAGCCACCCAGGTGCCCCTAGGGCAAGGTTTAATGTAACAGTTCATTTACACGAAGCTACTTCTTCAAGCCTAGGAAGAAGGTGGCTGTTTCATCTAATATGTAGAAACAGACAGACTTGAGGAAAATCAAGAAAAAGAATAATGTTCCTAATAAAAGAACAAGATAAAACCTCAGAAAAGATAATTTGCTTGATAGAGAGTTCAAAGAAATGGTCATAAAGGTGCTCACTGAACTTGGGATAAGAGTAGGTGGTGGCCTCATAAAATGAGTTTGGAAGTTTTCCTTCCATTTCTGTTTTTTGGAACAGTTTCAGGAGAATAGGAATTAGTTCTTCTTTAAATGTTTGGTAGAATTCCCCCGGGAAGCCGTCTGGCCCTGGGCTTTTGTTTGTTTGGAGGTTTTTGATGACTATTTCAATCTCCTTACTGGTTATGGGTCTGTTCAGGCTTTCTATTTCTTCCTGGTTCAGTTGTGGTAGTTTATATGTCTCTAGGAATGCATCCATTTCTTCCAGATTGTCAAATTTGTTGGCGAAGAATAAATATTGTGAAAATGTCTATGCTACCTAAAGCAATCTACACATTTAATGCAATTCCTATCAAAGTACCATCCATTTTTTTCAAAGAAATGGAACAAATAATCCTAAAATTTATATGGAACCAGAAAAGACCTCGAATAGCCAAAGCAATATTGAAAAAGAAAGCCAAAGTTGGTGGCATTACAATTCCGGACTTCAAGCTCTATTACAAAGCTGTCATCATCAAGACAGCATGGTACTGGCACAAAAACAGACACATAGATCAATGGAACAGAATAGAGAGCCCAGAAATAGACCCTCAACTCTATGGTAAACTCATCTTCGACAAAGCAGGAAAGAACGTCCAATGGAAAAAAGACAGCCTCTTCAATAAATGGTGTTGGGAAAATTGGACAGCCACATGCAGAAAAATGAAATTGGATCATTTCCTTACACCACACATGAAAATAGACTCAAAATGGATGAAGGATCTCAATGTGAGAAAGGAATCCATCAAAATCCTTGAGGAGAACACAGGCAGCAACCTCTTCGACCTCAGCCGCAGCAACATCTTCCTAGGAACATCGCCAAAGGCAAGGGAAGCAAGGGCAAAAATGAACTATTGGGATTTTATCAAGATCAAAAGCTTTTGCACAGCAAAGGAAACAGTTAACAAAACCAAAAGACAACTGATAGAATGGGAGAAGATATTTGCAAATGACATATCAGATAAAGGGCTAGTGTCCAAAATCTATAAAGAACTTAGCAAACTCAACACCCAAAGAACAAATAATCCAATCAAGAAATGGGCAGAGGACATGAACAGACATTTCTGCAAAGAAGACATCCAGATGGCCAACAGACACATGAAAAAGTGCTCCATATCGCTTGGCATCAGGGAAATACAAATCAAAACCACAATGAGATATCACCTCACACCATTCAGAATGGCTAAAATTAACAAGTCAGGAAATGACAGATGCTGGCGAGGATGCGGAGAAAGGGGAACCCTCCTACACTGTTGGTGGGAATGCAAGCTGGTGCAACCACTCTGGAAAACAGCATGGAGGTTCCTCAAAATGTTGAAAATAGAACTACCCTATGACCCAGCAATTGCCCTGCTGGGTATTTACCCTAAAGATACAAACGTAGTGATCCGAAGGGGCACGTGCACCCGAATGTTTATAGCAGCAATGTCTACAATAGCCAAACTATGGAAAGAACCTAGATGTCCATCAACAGACAAATGGATAAAGAAGATGTGGTATATATACACAATGGAATACTATGCAGCCATCAAAAGAAATAAAATCTTGCCATTTGCAACAACGTGGATGGAACTAGAGGGTATCATGCTTAGCGAAATAAGTCAATCGGAGAAAGACAACTATCATATGATCTCCCTGATATGAGGGAGAGGAGATACAACATGGGGGGTTAAGGGGATAGGAGAAGAGTAAATGAAACAAGATGGGATTGGGAGGGAGACAAACCATAAGTGACTCTTAATCTCACAAAACAAACTGAGGGTTGATGGGGGGAGGGGGGTTGGGAGAGGGGCGGTGGGGTTATGGACATTGGGGAGGGTATGTGCTATGGTGAGTGCTGTGAAGTGTGTAAACCTGGCGATTCACAGACCTGTACCCCTGGGGATAAAAATATATTATATGTTTATAAAAAAAAAAATAAAAAAAAGAGTAGGTGGGCACAGAACTTTAACAAAGAAGTGGAAAATACCAGAAAATATCAAATGTATGTCACAGTGCTGAAGAATACAGTATGTGACTGAGAAACTGGAAGCGTTCCGCAACAGACTAGATGAAGAAGAAGAA